GTGGGGCCTTCGGTGGAGCTCCCCATTGGGCTACAGAATCTGCTAGGGGCGTGCCGAAACGGTGCCGATTACTCTTCTGGGGAACCAGAGGCAAGGATGGGAGACGGGAGGAGGGGGAGGAGGAGAGGAGGAGCGGAGACGCGAGGCGCCGTCTATAACAACGAGGACACAGCCACAGGATGGTTGGGAACAAAACATATGAGACAAGCTTTCGACCAGGGATGCACTAGCGCCGAATCGAGAACTGCATCCTAACGCATGGTCTTCTACCGACTCCAGGCCCAGGTGCCACAGCCTGGACCTCAGGGCGAGGGAGGCGACCCAGACGAGACGGGAGAAAACTGCAGACGCCCCAGGAGCTCCCGAGACAAGACCAGACCACGTGCGAGCCAACAGTTCGAAACCAAGGGAGGCTTGCCTCGGGGATCTACGGTCCCAGTTCAATCCAGACCCTGGTCAGTCAAGCTTTGCAGGATCCTGCAGGATCCTGCTGGATCCTGCGCGCTAGCCTGGGTCAGTTCGCCCCTGCCTCTGCAGGATCCTGCTGACCCCCGTCTGCATTGACTCCCGTCTCAAGGCTCCCGATTGCCGATCGCGCTGGCGCCGCCAGCGCCCAGCACTCTGCGCTGCACGGCGGCGGCGAGGGAAGAGCAGGGGCTGAAGCAGGCAGGCGACGCAGGGCTGGCGGGACGAGGCCGGCGGGCCCCAAACATGTCACGCGCTGTTTTTCTGTTCCAGCACGGGGTCCCCAGCAGTCCCGGCCCTTTCCACAGGCCCGGCTTTTCAGCCTGAGTCGTGTCTTCGCGGTCCTGGGGCCCAGCGAGGGTCCCTGGAGGTCGAAAGTCTACAGAAAGACCGCGCGTCCTGATTTTGCAAAACGCGAGCATGTCTGGGGCGGGTGGGAGGGCACACAAGGGAGACAGTAAGCAAGGAGGACGGGAAGAGAAGAGTGCGAGAGGGAGGGGGAGGGGCAGAGAAGAGGGGCGGGGGGGCCGCTGGAGGCATGAGCGGAGAGCAGGGCGCAGGTCGGGAGGAACCAACCGGGAGGGCGAGGGGGAGGGCGAGGAGAGGGAAGAACGAGGAGGGGGAGGACGAGGGGAAGGGTGAGGAGGCGAGCACGAGAAGGAGGGCGAGGAGGGAGAGGGAGGAGGGCGAGGAGGGGAGGGGCAAGGAGGGGAGGGACGACTATGCCCAGCCGAGAGCTTAGAAGGGGGGGCCCATCCGGGACCAATTCCATACGACTGGAACTGATTTCCAACAAGCTGGTACTTTTCCGAACCAGCTCGGGAAGACAAACTGGTACATTATTATAGCTCCGAGGCGATGTTAGTATATCCCACAAGCGAATGTATGCTAAACTAACATGGTGATCACCCAGATTGGAGTGTGTGCCAGCTTTGTCTTGGATGCCACTGGAAGGGTTTAAGTGCTTAAGGGTTTAATGGCTTCAGGGAGTAAGAGCTCGAGGGTGTAAGGGCTCAAGGGTTTAAGGGCCCATGAGTCTAAAGTGATAAGGGTTTATGGGATTAAGGGTTCAAGGGCTTAAGGCTTGAAGGGTGTACTAAAAAGTTACGGTGGTTAAGAACTTAATGGCGCAAGGGTTCAAGGCCTAAATGGTGAAAAAGGGTTTGGTGTTGAAAGGGTTTTAGAGGGTTCAAGGGTTCGAGGTCTTAAGGATGTAAGGGTTAAAAGGGTTGAGGGTGAGAGGGCGTAACTATTAAAAGGGTTTTAGGGCTTACGGGCTCACGGGCCGAAGGATTAAGGGCTTAGGAGGAGGAGGCGGAGGAGGAGGTGAATCAGGTGAACCAGAAAATGAAACATCGCATCCCGCAAGCAGGAGGAAAAGACCCCCCGCGAACCAGACGGAACCTGGCCAGCGCCAAGCGCGACCTGGAGTACGACGCCTCGAAGACGCGTGTGGGGCTTCTCATGGAGCTTGGATGCAGCTCGTGCCAAAGTTTTGAAATTCATAGCAAAGTGATTGGCATTAGAAATTACCAAAGTGGTTGAAATTAGTTGGAAAGCCGTTGGAATCTGTAACTTGTCCTATTTCGGGCGATGGCCCCCCAATGCTTAAAGACGTTCTGCGGTTACGGAAGCAGCGAAGAGACTGACAGCAATCTTTTACGTGTTCGACCATGGACCCCCTGTTACCCATCTCCCCTGGGCCCTCTTCGACGGTCTTCGGACGGTCCTCGGCGGTCTTCGGCGGTCTTCTGACGGTCTTCGGCGGTTTCCGCCGGTCTTTAGCTGTTTCCGGCGGTTTTCGGCGCGAAAGCTGGCTGGTTACGTTCAACAAGGAGTCCATGATCGATAACATGAGTTCTTGTCCGCTTTGAGCAAGGCTCGCGGTCGGTGCCGCCGCGGGCGTTGTCAATCTGAGAGGCAGAAGGTCGCCTGCACAAAAAGATGCTAGACAACACTGGCCGCTGGGCATCGTACCTCAGAGGCGGCCGGAAGGTCTGAACTGGTCGGGGCCCCAGAAACTCGGCCAGGAGGGGGATGAAGCCAAATTGGCTCAAATCGATCCCTGGACCCCCCTCGGGGTCCATCTGGTGTAATTTTGTTCACCCTGGATCCGTTTTCGTCGGTCACGGGTTCGAAAAAGGCAAAGAAGTTTCTCGAACCCAGAGCCTCGAAGATTCCCTCCCTTCCTGCTGGCCGGCTCCAGTGCTGGGCCACCTTGGATCCCCATCCAGCTCCAATGGTGGGCATCATACCCATTTTTGTCCACACCCTTTCGGGCGTGCCAAAAAAGGGTGGGGATGGAGGGAGACAGGGTGAGTGGCGGGAGCGGCGACCGGCGGAGACGAAGCGACGCGGAACGGAGCGGAGCGGCGTCCCAGAGGGCGCCCCCGTTGCATGCAGCGAGCGGTGCGGCGGGGCGCCCCGGTTGACCTGCTGATGCGCATGCGGTCGGTAGCTTTTGCACAGCGTGTCGCCGCGGCGGACCTGGCGACACGCTAGGTATGCCCTGCGGGCGGAAAAGTGTCGCTCCTCTCCGCCGGGGGGAAGGCTCGGAAAGGCTCGGGGCTTGACGATTGGGGACCGGGAAGTGGATAGCGTGTCGCACCGAAGCGTGGTCGGCCAGAACCGTGGGAGCGGTACGCTGAGAGCAAGTTCCCGACCGTAGACTACTGGCTCGACATCTCGACATCGCAGGCAAACGTTCCCCAGTCCCGACCTTCATAAAACATCTTCGCACTGCCAGAATGACGTCGTCCATCCATCGTAGCTGGAAAGCCCCGGCGATGATCACCCAGATCGGTGAGTACCCGATTGTTTCGGTCGCGCTCGGTGGCGACCGATTGGCACTACCAATCGGTCGCCACCAGTGTTGAATCAAAGCGTTCACGACCGATGCTGGCATTTGACGCCCCCTCGGGAACGACCGATCTTGTCGGCCGCAACCAGAGATCCTCTGGCATCCAATGATCAGGGAAGGGGATCGAGAGGCACAGGGTGGAAGAACCCCAAGGACCCCTCGCCGTGAAAACGTCACGACAGGAATCCTTGCGCCGTCTCCGGCCTCTGCTAGGCCCTCTCTTGGGCCCGGGACCGTCAAAAAACGGCCCGGGAGGGGAACCCCGTCCCGGGGATAGGGCCCAGGCGTCCAGGGACACACGCAGTGGACAAACAGCACGACATCGGAATTCTGGGGCGCAGGAGCGGAGGCGACAGCAGAGGCAGGACGACCGCATACCGTCCTCGGCGAGCGCACGAGGTCCGAAAACCTGCGAACTCAGCGCAGGCCGGACGAAGGTGCCGCGCGGATGAACCATCCGAGCAAGCCGTACATCGTGAGCTCGCTCGGGAGGCTACTAGAACGATCCCGAGCTTCCTTGCTCATGCCGCAAGCCCCCTTCATCCCCCCCGCCAACTTGCGTCGTTCCCCAACCCCGGACACTTCCCGCGCCGTCCTTTTTGTTAGCCGTGCCACTGAGCTCAATCAAAACGGTCAAGTTCTGGCGTTCGCGCTTGCTTGCAAACATCGGCCGCCCTGCATAATCCACAGCGGTGACTCCTGTCAGACTCCTTGCGGCTCCTGAGTGCGAGGGCGCGGTGTCATGGAGCTTACCGTACCTAAGCAGCTGCGAGCCTTAGGAACCAGTTGGTGCTAGCGTGCCCTAGCAGTCTCCCAGGACGCGCCTTAGCAAACAGATTGAGCATACTGCGAAGGTGGCCGCCACGAAATCGACGGGAGCAGAACGATTCTCTCGATGCCTAGGTCACTGAACCCTCGAGAAAGGAACAGAGAAAGATATCCAGAGCAGTCTCACAAAATCTGTACACATGTAAGCTGAGATGAGTCTTGTGGTCTTCGACGTTGCTCGGCAAGCCAATTCGACAGACAGCGGTTTTCCACACTGGCCGGGCAAGTGTATATCAAAAAGTTGGCGTTCCCTACATCTTGATCACGGATCTTCTGGAGATGTTTGGCCTGTCCAGATTCCTGGGCCTCCCTCACTCAGCGAGTGGACATGCCCTGTCCAGATTCCAAAGGGTTGGGGGAGGTGGCCGCAGGGAGGGTGGAGGCATAACACCGAGGGCGGCGTGAGCGGGCAGAAACAAAGTCGCAGTCAGGCGCAATGCGAGGATGCTGGGGAGGGCATGGAGCGGGCGCCTGGGCGCAGAAGATGCCGACGGGGTCCGAAAACAGCCCGTCCGTGAGCGGATCGCCCACGCCGTTGATTGCAGCAACCTCGCCGTCCCACCCCGTCTGCCCACGTGCCCTCTCCCATCTGCTTCTCTGTTCCACGTGTCCTGGTGTGCTAGGCGTTCCCCAGCCCGAGATGCCACGATGCTACCCCTGAGCTCCTGCAGCAGCGGCTACTGCTGTTCTGCTGCTGGTGCTGCTTCAACTTCAAGCAGGAGGTGTTGGTCATCCTGCGATGTCCTATGGCTTCTCTTCTTTATCGTCATCAGTACCCTGATCTTGACCCGTGCATGCTCCTCGTCCACCCTCGCTGTCACCCTCTGCTGCCTCCTCTCTCCCCCATTCACGTAGCTCCCTTCTCTACATCAGCGCGGGCAGCCTTGAAGTAGAAAGTCTGCTGAGCGCCACAGGAATAGGTGAAGCTGTTGATGGACGCATCTGCGGTGTAGCCCGCGTGCGTGTAGGTGTCTCCACCGTCGGCCGACACCTGTCAGGCATGCACCATGGTGCCGTTGGGGGCCAGGGACTGGGGGGGTCGCCCGCTCAACACTTCCAGGGGGGAAATGGTCTTTGACACAACCACGCCGTCTGTGTCCCCGGCTATGCTTTCCCGTCTATTGCTGTTTCGGTCACCGCTGGTTGCCTCGCCTGTTGTTTTGTCTGGTTCTGTTTCTGGTTCTGATTCTGGCGCCGATGGCCGCTGGTGCACGGACTCGCGCTTCCAGCATACTGTCAGGGGAAAACTGGGCGAGGTAGAGCACGAGGGCCGCGAATCGGTCACGGAGGAGGGGCGGGGGGGCGGCAAGAATGGCAGAAGGAGCGGGAGAGGTACAAGCATGGAGGGCGGCATCTCCCAGCAAAACGCTACGATCCCCTCTGATCCAAATTTGCTGGAGGGCCTGCACGCTGTACTGCGACAAGGCCACGCCACCGTTGTCTCTACCTGCGTAGCTCCAACCGATGGTGATCTCCGTGGCCGTCGACGAGACCACCTGAGCGGCGCTCAAATATGCATTTCGCATGGGCCTGGGGAGAAAAAAGGAGGGGGGAGACGGACGCATCAAAGCAACATACACATCGGGCACGAATGAACTAGGCCTGTCTGAGATCCGCCAAATTGAAAGGATGCCTGAGGTGCTGGGGCAAGCCAAGAAAGCTCCGGAACACTCTGAGCAACTCTGGAACACGCTATCCGTACCGTATCATGAGGTCGCCTGAGAGGAGGAGAAAGAGGAGGAGGAGGAGGAGGAGGAGGAGGAGTAGGACAAGGAAGACGAGGAAGAGATTAAGGTTGAACGCCTTGGGGGCGAGTCCGAAATGCAAACCGCGGTAGGGCCTGTGAACGTTCGAATCGCCCCTGCGTAAATACGGATGCACGGCCACTTGCGTGGGGCGCCTCGCGGCCCCTCAGGGCGAGCGAGCACCCCGCTGCAAGGATCTCTTACGTTCCTGCCTCGGGAATGGAGGCGCGGCACCGCTGGTCGTCATCCGGGGCCGGCGAACGGGCCTACGCAAGAGGGAGTGCCAAGGGCCACTTCGAGGCTCTGTCCACCACGCTACTGCATCGTCTCAGCCGGAGGGCGGGACCCGCTGCCCCGAAGTGGGGCTACGCGCGCTGAAGCGAGGAGAAAGAAAGATAGGAGCGAGAGACAGGGGGGGAAGGAGCAGCACCGAGCGGAGGAGAACAAACGGGGGAGCGGACGGCGACAGCCAAAGGAGGAGGAGAGGGGGGGCGAACTCGTCGGGCCCCTCACGCCCGCGCACCTCAAGGGTCTAGGGTTCGCCCACGGGCCCGACGAACCCGTCCTGCACGACGAGCCAAAGAAGCGCCGCGCTTCTGCATTTCCAACAATAGATCGATCACATTCCTCAGAGATTATGGTGCGACGCGCCAACAGCGCGTGCTAGCTGGTCGTGACCTCACTTCACAATGACAATCGATCGGTCAACTTATCATGTTTCTAACTCTGCCATGCGTTCTACACATCGCTTTCAGCCGCCGCGAAAGCAATACCTTCTTCCAGTGTTTCGATCAAGATATCCAATAACAGCGTCATCCTTCCCTCATCTGTCTCAGCACGACGCCTTGCAACACAATCCAGACCCGCAAAGTGTCCATTCTCCATATGATAAGTGATAGGATTAGTGTGCTCTTTACTATCGTGCTCCTCTGATTCAAAGTATCCCCCCACGCCCTGCAGAAACAGCCAAACAAATCGGGCTTGTACACTCATGCCTTTCTGTGTCGAAAGCTCATCCCTGAACGTCAGCCGGACAAGTCGGGCTAGCATCCTCAAGCCCTGCTGGGTCCAAGGGCAGGGATTCCAATCCAGTGAGAGGCTCCAGTCTCGCTATTGAAAGTATGTGCAAACTCTGCGTCTATGCAGTTATAGCATGTGTTCATCAGATTCGCATCCTTCTTAGCAACGACCGCGCAAATAACATAATATATGAACGACGGATTAGTGCGAGACATGATGTACACAAAGCGGTCGTAAAATATGCCGCTCCTTGATCCCTCCTACTCCTCCCCTGGCCAAGGCTGAGGCTGACTGACGGGAACGCGCCGCTAGTAAATCGTGCGAACTTAGGGCAAGGCCAGGTCTCCTCGATCGCGTCACGACGGCGGCTAGGAGGGAGAGGATGAGGAACGAGGACGATCGCGCCTCGGTGCGCAACGATGTGCGAGCCAGTCCACCTACTGGCGAACTCGGTGTACTCCAGCTTGGGCCCATGAGAGAAGTCTGAGCGTCTACCGTCTCGTGCAATTCCAAAGTGTGCTCAGAGGTGCAACGACGTTCTGCAACCTGGCCTGCCCAACACATGGCCAGCTCTGGAAACTCTGAACCCACAACGGCTGCCATTTCTCAGGGGTGCATCTTTTACTTCCGCCGGCGTCCGCAAGCCTTTCGCTGGGGCTGCGCCGGCAGAGCCAGCCCCGTGTCACTGTCGCCACCTCACGCCGATCAAGAGATGGCCACTCTTCTCGACCCTCGAACAGGGTCCCTCTCCTGGAGCGGCCCGCATGGACCAGGGAGGGGCCGCACACCAGCACAGCTGCCAGCGCCCTCCTGACGCCCAGCGCGCGGTCAACCCCGAGGCCGCCCCCGACGAGGCATGCCCGCCTCGCCAAGAAGAGCCTCTGACGACGCGCGGAGCCAGCCAGCGGACGGATGTGCAGCCATCGTGCTACAATGCGGAGCGATAACCGAGGAACGACGGGGCTCTGGCCACGGCGAACCTAGGCCACGCAGAGATTTGCCGACCTAGATCTGAGGACCGGCCTGGAAACCAGAGCCCGTCCCGAGCAAAAAACAAGGGGCACGCGTGCCAAGGATCATACAATGACGATGTGGGTCCATGGGAGATGGAGAAAACCAGGGATCGCGAGGGAGGCAGTCCTTGGCAGGCGCCGGGGAGGGGGTCGCAGGGGGGGAGCGGGGGGGGGGGGGGCCACTGGTCGGTCGGAATAAGGGGAGGGGGCGCAGGGGGGGAGCGGGGGGGGGGGGCCCACGGTCGGTCGGAATAAAGGGAGGGGGCGCAGGGGGGGGGGGGGGGGAGCCCACGGTCGGTCGGAATAAGGGGAGGGGGCGCAGGGGGGGAGGGGGGCGGTCGGTCGGAATAAGGGGGCGGGGGGCGGGGGCACGGTTGGTCGGAATAAGGGGACGGGGCGCAGGGGGGCGGGGGGGGGGGGCACGGTCGGTCGGAATAAGGGGAAGGGGGCGCAGGGGGGGAGCGGGGGGTGGGCCCATGGTCGGTCGGAATAAGGGGAGGGGGGCAGGGCGGGGGGAGGGCCCACGGTCGGTATAAGGGGGTCAGGGGGCGGGGGGGGTGGCCACGGTCGCGGGGCGCAAGGGAGGAGCGGGGGGGGGCCCGGTCGGTCGGAATAAGGGATGGGGGGGCAGGGGAGGAGCGGGGGGGGCCCACTCGGTCGGAATAAGGGGAGGGGGGCGCAGGGGAGGAGCGGGGGGGGGGTGGCCCACGGTCGGTCGGAATAAGGGGACGGGGGCGCAGGGGGGGAGCGGTGGGGGGGCCACGGTCGGTCAGAATAAGGGGAGAGGGGCGCAGAAGAGGAGCGGGGGGAGTGGCCCACGGTCGGGCGGAAGAAGGGGACGGGGGCGCAAGGGGGGAGCGGGGGGGGGCCCACGGTCGGTCGGAATAAGCGGAGGGGGGCGCAAGGGGGGAGCGGAGGGGGTGGCCCACGGTCGGTCGGAATAAGGGGAGGGGGGCGCAGGGAGGGAGCGGGGGGGGTGGCCCACGGTCGGTCGGAATAATGGGAAGGGGGCGCAGGGGAGAAGCGGGGGGGGTGGCCCACGGTCGGTCGGAATAAGGGGAGGGGGGCGCAGGGGGGGAGGGGGAGGGGCCAGCACGACCACCAGCACGACCACCAGCACCTCCACCAGAACGGCCAGCAACACGACCGCGAGCACGACCACCAGCACGACCACCAACACGACCACCAGCACCTCCAGCACGGCCAGCCACCAGCACGACCACCAGCAGAACCACCAGCACGACCACCAGCACGACCACCAGCACCTCCACCAGAACGGCCACCAACACGACCGCCAGCACGACCACCAGCACAAGCACCGGCACGCCCAGCCACCAGCACGACCACCAGCACAACCACCAGCACGACCACCAGCACGATCACCAGCACGACCACCAGCACCTCCACCAGAACGGCCACCAACACGACCGCCAGCACGACCACCAGCACAAGCACCAGCACGACCACCAGCACGACCACCAGCACGACCAGCACGACTCCAGCACGGCCAGCCACCAGCACGACCAAGCACGACCACCAACACGACCACCAGCACCTCCAGCACGGCCAGCCACCAGCACGACCACCAGCACAACCACCAGCACGACCACCAGCACGACCACCAGCACGATCACCAGCACCTCCACCAGAACGGCCACCAACACGACCGCCAGCACGATCACCAGCACAACCACCAACGCGACCAGCCACCAGCACGACCACCAGCACAACCGCCAGCACGACCACCAGCACGACCACCAGCCCAGCACGACCACCAGCACGACCACCAGCACGACCAGCCAGCAGCACGACCACCAGCTCGACCACCAGCACTTCCCAGCACGACCACCAGCACAAGTACCAGCACGACCACCAGCACGACTGCCAGCACCTCCACCAGAACGGCCAGCAGCACGACCACCAGCACGACCGCATTATGGGCACACGGTCGGTCGAAATAAAGCAGTGCGAGATCACACCGGTAGGTATGATGATAATCGTTACTTCGGCGCCTTGGCTGTAGAAAAGAGAGCGCATGCTTTTTGTGGCAGGCGCCAGTGCGCTCTAACCAGCGGTGACAGTTGTGAGGATGCCGGCGTGTAGAGTTCTCTTCCTTGTGAAGCGTGCGGCACAATTTAGCTCCAGGAAGCGGGCAGTGGCGAACCAGGGCAGAAAGTTCAGGCTGTGCAAAACAGGGCGGAAGAGGGAGAACCAGTAAACACGAACGCAAGCACGAGGAGAAGATCTCAACGACGGCGGCGGACGGAGAGCAGAAGCGATGAACTCGAGGGTGCCTGGTCGTTGCGGGACCTCGCAGGCTGGCCAGGGCTGGCGTTCGTCCCCCACAAGGCGCCGACTCCAGCATCCAGAAACCCTCGAGGTTCGACGCTGGTGAAAGAAGAGTCGCATCCAGAAATATTCCTGCCCGCGAGTGCACCTATCGCCTAGCACCTAGCACCGCGCACAGGGCCCCGCCTCCTCCCTCCGTCTTCCCTCAGCCTTCCCCCCCACCCCCCACGCTCTCCCTCCTTCTTGCCATGGTGTCTTCCACTTCCGTCGCCTGCGTAACTGTCCTCGTCCTCTCCTGGGGCTCAATGGGTGTCGTGAGGGACAGCCCCGTGCCCTGAGCGCCCCACGAAAGGCGACGACGGCGCTTCTGGCAGCGCGCCGCAGACGAGGTCCAGCTTGCTGGTCCAGTCGCCGCAACCATTGAGGCTGCAAGCTCGCACCTGGGCTTGGCAGAAGGAGGGAAGTGGACAAAGACAGGGAGAGAAAGAGAGAGAGAGAGAGAGCGAGAGAAACAAAAAACAGAGAGAGAGAGAGAGACATAAAGAAAGAGAGACAGGGATAAAGACGCAGAGACAGAGCATAGACAGGAAGACAGACAGGGAGAAACACAGAGACAGAGAGAGAGAGAGACAAAAACATGCAGGGTGCGCGTGTGATGCTGTAGATGTAGAAAGAGGGATAGAGAGAGAGGTATTGAGAGATAAAGAGAGAGTATGTATGCGAACAATAAACGAATCTAGACGCAGGGGCAATATAGAGTGAGTGGGTGAGAGCGGGACTGAGAGTAAGAGGCGGACGGGGGGAGAGAGATAAAGAGAGAGAGAGAGACAGAGGGAGAAAAACCCGCCGTCGCTCCGGCGTCTGGAAGATGCTGTCGTCCTCGTCGTCGTGCTCGTCGTCGTCGTCGTAGTGAAGTCAAACCCCCTTCCCTTTATCCTTTCCTGCTGGGGGTGCGGAGGGGAGTGGAGGGGCGTAGAGGGGGGGGAAGGGGGGTGGGTAGGGGGTCTCGGGTCAGAATGTCACCCCACGGGGGTCCCGGCGGGCCCCAAGGGGGGTCGGAAGCGGGGGTCCCAGGAGATGCCCCGCGTCAGGATCGGCAGCACTGGCCATAAGGCCTCCACAATAAGGGGAGAAGTCAGAGAAGGGGAAAGAGAGAGAGAGAGGGAGAGAGAGGGAGAGAGAGAGATACATACGCATCACCCCGCAATGGCGGATAAGAGTGAGGGGGCGGGCTCGGGCGCCGGTCAACGATCAACGACGAGCCGGCGGACCTCGTGGCCCTCACCTTCCCTGTCGATGGCGCCCTCCTCCTCCTCATCCTGCTCCTGCTCCTCTTCTTCCTGCTCCTCCTCCTCCTCTTCTTCCTCGTCCGCGTCCTCGTCCTCATCGTCGTCGTCGTCGTCGTCGTCGTCGTCCACTTCCTCCTCCTCCACCTCCTCCTCCTCTTCTTCCTTTTCCGCATCCTCCTCCACCTGGAAGGACTTCAAAAACAGCCCGCCGCAGGCGCCGAAAATATTGATTTGTACACAGAACGCGGTTTGGGTCGCAGGTTCTCCACCTGATACGAATTCAAAAAAAAAAACGCCGCAGGCGCCGAAGTTTTGGCTTCATCAGTGAACGTAGTTTGGGTCGCGGGTGGGTCGCGGGCTCTCCACCTCCACTTGGAAGGAATTCAAAAACAGCCCGACGCAGGCGCCGAAAATTTTGATTTTTACACTGAACGCGGGTTGGGTCGCGGGTGGGTCGCATGTTCTCCACCTGGAACGAATACAAAAGAAGCCCGCTGCAGGCGCCGAAAATTTTGGGTGGGTCGCGGGGTGAGTCGCGGTAGGTCGCGGGTGGGTCGCGGGCGCTGCTTGGGTCGCGGGTGGGTCGCGGGCTCTCCACCTGGAACGAATGCAAAAGAAACCCGCCGCAGGCGCCGAAAATTTTGAGTGGGTCGCGGGGTGGGTCGCCGGGGGGGTGGGGTCTAGGGGTGGCTCGCGGGCGGGTCGCGGGGTGGGTCGTGGGTGGGTCACGGGTGTCGCGGGTGGGTCGGGGGGTGGGTCGCGTGTGGGTCGCGGGGTGGGTCGCGGGTGGGTCGCGGGTGGGTCGCGGGGTGGGTCGCGGGTGGGTCGCGGGGCGGGTCGCGGCTGGGACGACGACAACAACAAACAACAAACAACAAACAACAAACAACAAACAACAAACAACAAACAACAAACAACAAACAACAAACAACAAACAACAAACAACAAACACAACAACAACAACAACAACAACAACAACAACACCAACAACAACAAGAACCGCATCGCGGAATTCCACTTCAGCCACGCACCCAAGGACAGCGCATGAGCCCCCTCACTCTGATACATGTGTATATACATAGATGTGTTGTCTTTAGGTGTGTACGTATCGAGAGAGGGACGAGAGAAAACACACACACACACAGTTACAACAACAGCAACAACAACCACAACAACAACACCAACACAATCAAAGAGGAAGGAGAGATAACGCGAGAGACTATCTGTTCGAATATAGAACGCAGCTGGTAAACCTATACGTGCCTGTCGGTGTACACATGTATCTCTACATATTTATACACATAAATACACATGTACATCCAGATAGAGAGAGGAGGTAACCATACCTGTACATATATATATAGACATGCAAATACATATATATAGATGTGTGTGTGTCGCCGCGCCGTTTGTTCTGAACGCGCCAAAGCATCGCGGCAAATGTACTGCAAACTGTGCATCCGAGGCGGAAAATTCCGGGGTGGCCGAGGCGCCCTCCAAGACGGAAGTCCGCGCGACGGAACAAACGGCACGGCGACACATAGGACAGAGCGAAGGTACATAGAGAGAGAGAGAGAACAAGAAAGAGAGAGAGAAAGAGAGAGAGAAAGATAGAGACGTTTAAATAGATGTATAGTGAGAGAGATAATGCTAAGACAAGAAGCACATAAAGAAATCATGCGCAACGGAGAAAGGCATACAGAGATGGAGCGATGACGGAAGGATGGACATTGAAACGTAAGACCTCGTCGAGGGCGAACGAAGGGCAGAAGGGAAGGACAGGGAGCAGGGCGGGTTCTCTGGGGAGTGCGTAAGAGCTGGCCACCAGCCACACAAACTTGAGGCAGGGGTCTCACGGATAGGAAGAAAAGAGGAGATGGAGGCTGGGAGGGAGCTGAAGGAGAACGGGAAGACGGGCATGAAAAGGTTTGGCCTGCGAGGACTGACTCCACTTCGTCTGCAGCCGCAAGAGGGCAGGCTTCGTGTCTGCGGTGAGACTGGGGACGCTGACTTCATGCCTGCCTGCGGCCCGACTGGGCTGACTTCATCACCTCTTGGGCCCAAGGGGCTCCCCCCAGCTAGGGGGCCACATGCGAACCCCACCCCTACCCCCCACGATTTCTGAGGGGGAGGGTGGGGTTCGCTTCGCTCGGGAGCTCCCCAACGAAGTGAACCCCACCCTCCCCCTCAGAAATCGTGGGGGGTAGGGGTAGGGTTCGCATGTGGCCCCCTACCAGCTCAGAAATCGGTCCCCCGGTCCAGAACAGGGCGTCCTGGAGCAAAAATAAGCGGCTCCGGTCAGGACCAAATCGAAAAGGTCACCACAGCCGTGCAATCGAAACAATCACACTGAGAAGTATATCTCACAAGCCCCATGTATTTGAGTACCAGCCTGAATGTACGTAGCAGTCCTGATCCCTCAAAGGGGTCAAGAAACACCTGCAAGCTGTACTGATCCAGTTCTGAGAGGAAAACGAAAAATGGAGTCCACGGGTCAGCGAAAACAGCACTTTGCGTTCTCGCGTTGTCTACGTCCCCTGATGCGGAGCGGTCTGGGGTACTGCCAAGCACAGCACATTGGCACGGCCACTTCCTGCATTCGCGATGTGAGAACGACTTCATCTTGACCGGTCTCCGCTTCCGGAGGTACCCGGAGGCTGCCGACACCATACTTCCTGCAAATTCGCGCCGTTCCCAAATCCCCGAAATCGGAATCATCACAACGTCGACCCCCAAAAGACTCCACCCATTACCCGGGACGGGGTTTCCATCCTGGGACTGTGTTTATGTTTGACGATCCCGGGGCCCGGCGAGGATTCGCGGAGGCCGAAAATAGCAGAAGAACCTTCCGTCGTGCGTGGTTCACGACGCCAGGGAGTCTACGGTCGGAAACTTTTGCCTGGCGTGTCGCCACGGTGGCCCTGGCGACACGCCATGCCGTGCAAGCGGATAGCGTGTCGCTCCGCTCCGTGGGGCGGGGGGCAAGAAAAGGCTCGGGACTTTGACGCCTGGGGGCTGGGAGGCGGATAGAGTGTCGCGCCGTAGCGTGGTGAGCCAGAACCAGCGACGCGACACGCGATCCCAAAGTGCCCGAAAGTATCTCCTGACTCACCCAACTGACAAAAACAAACGTTTGGAGGTCCGCGCGGATTTCTCGGATCGGCGCTGGACCCCCTCCATGGCGCGAGAAGCGTGCCAGGGGCGGCGCTGGAGGCGCCACCAGGGGAGCCCAGCGCCGATCCAGGGAATCCGCGCGTAGCACAGAGAGCTCATGCTTATGTCATTGTTTATTCCCCGAGTCTTAGTCCTCCTGGTTCACCCCCATCACAGCCTCACCTCCATACCCCCCCCCCTCGCCCGCCGCCGCCACGGATCCTGAAAGAGTCGCCCGCGTCCGCCCCCTACGCCTGGCCTCTCGCGGCGCCGCACCGCCCGCCGACGCGCCACGCAGCCCCTCGCAACCTTCCCCCTCCTACGCTTCGTCCCCCGCCCACCCCCCCGCCTCCTTGTCCTTGTTTCCTGTTGAGCAAACGCTGGCTTGCATGAGCCGTGGCCGCGACCCGCAAAAAAGAAATAGGAACGCAGCGCTCGGTTAACATAACAAAACAGAACCAGTGTGTGCACGATGGGAAATAGAAAGGCGGAGGTTACTGGACAGGAAGGGAAGCCCGCCAGGGCAGAGAGCGATGCACAACGGAAAGAGGATGCCTCCAAAATACCCAAGCTGCAATCTGGGACTGCCCCTCCTCCGCCTCCTTCCCCTGCCCTTGACCAGGGGTCAAAGAGCGTCGGCCCCTGGACCTCTCCTGGGAGGGGGACGCGCGGGCGGGGCCTCGAAGCGGTAGGTGTGGCCAGCGGAGAGCGGCACGGCGGGGCCCCCGTACCTGCCGCCGGGGGGGGAGGCTCCCCTGCTCCTCCTCCTCCTCCTCCTCCTCCTCCTCCTCCTCCTCCTCTTCTTCCTCCTCCTCCTCCTCCCCCACGCAGTGATTCTGACATCGGGGCGGCGACTATCCCCATGTTGGAGATCATTGATTGAATGACCTCTGTGGAGCTCCCTGAGGGTGCATATTCCGGGCTCCATCTGCCTCTCCTGTCCCGTCAGGTCGGGTCCTGGTTTATGGCGGCGCTAGCCCCCCAAAGCACCCACCGTTGATGTCTCACGCTGTTCCGGGTCTCTCGGTCCCTGTTGACACCTGCACGGCAAGGCTACTTCTACCCAGGCTCTGCGCAGGAGCGAGAGCGGCGCGCCTCAGGCGCCTTCCCGCTCCGCCCCGCGAACGGCAGCCGCTGTCGTCGCCGTTGCCGCCGCTGGTCGTGCCGCTGCGGGCGTCCCGTCGTCTGTCGTGTCGTCGTCGCCGTCGCGGTCCCGGCCGCCGCCGTCGCCGCTTCCGCCTGTGGCTGCTTGGGTTTCTCTTCCTGGACCTCGCGCCCAATTTTGGGCGCGCGCGAGGCCAACCCAGAATACCAGAATCCTCCTCAATCCCTCAATCACTGCCTAACGACACTTGTGTTCGCTGCTGATGGTCCTCCTCCTCGTTCTGCTCCTCGTCCTCCTCCTCCTCCTCCTCCCGTTTTTGGTGGAGGGAGCTTTATTCTGCAGCAGCATTTTCGTGTCTCGATGCTGCCCCTGTTGGCTCGCGCGTTCGTGCCGTTCGCATCACGAGCCCAGTGAGAACAGAGCGCGAGGCTGATCCGCAACCCCAATCGAGAGGGGTGGTGTCCGACGCTGCTGTGTGCAGCGCAGTACCACTCAGGCCGAAACAGCGACCCACAAGCACTGTCGCAGCACAACACCGGCTGGGACGGCAACTACACGCGACGTGAGGGGTAGGGCCGAGGGTGCGGAGGGCGAGGGAGACTGCATCTGAACTGTTCCTGTCACCTGGGCACAGAGACTGGCCTGATCAAGGAGGGGCTTGCGCAAAGCTTGGGCTAGGCTCATACTGCCTCTTTTTGGCAGCACCACCTCGCCGCACCATTGGCACTCCAGAAGGCCAGGTCTCCCCCTAGAAAAATTGCGGGTGGGGGTGGGTGGGCACGTTTTTCCTCAGCCCCCCTGGGCTTGGAAGCCCTTGAGCCCGAACAGTTGCGGATTTGACAGTGGCCACAACGAGAAAGGATCTGGTTTGGGGCCACTGCATCTGAACTGTCCATGTTGCCTGGACATACAGACTGGCCTGATCTAGGAGAGGCTCACTCGAAGCGTGAGTTATGCTCATACTGCCCCTGTTGGCGACACTCGCTCGCCGCACCACTAGCACTCCAGAAGGCCACGCCTCACTGAGCGAAGCGCCCTTCCGCACCTGCAGCGAAAAGCGCTCGATCCGCCGATTTAGCGTGGCAGTCATGTTGCCCCTCATTGCAGTCGACGCCCCTCTCAGAAACGGCCTGAAAACTAAAGGGGCGCCGAAAACTAAAGGAGCGCCGAAAGCCAAAAGGGCACCGAAAACCAAGAGGGCGCCGAAAACCAAAGGAGCGCCAGAACCCAAGAGGGCACCGAAAATCAGAAAAGGGTCAACAGAAAACCAAAGAGGGCGTCGAAAACCAAAGGAGCGCCGACAACCACGCGGGCGCCGAAAACCAAAGGAGCGCCGAAAACCACGGAAGCGCCAAAGGCCCCAAGCGCGCCGAAAACCAAAAAGGCGCCGAAAACCACACAGACATTGAACACCACAAATACGCCGCAAACCAACGGGGCGCCGAAAACAACAAAAGAGAAGTAGCTTCGAACTCTCCCTTCAGCCAGCGCCCTCCAGCTGGAAAAGCCAACAGAAAAAGAGAAAGGGGGGTAGCTTCGGAAGCCCCCCCTCCCTTTGGAAAGGGGAGCCTGGGCTCACCAAGGGTCCCGAAAAGGAGAGGGGGTAGCTTCCAAGCCCCCCCCCCATAAGCCAGGGACCACCCAGTTACAATATCCAAACAAAGAGAAGGGGGGAGCTTCGGAAGCCCCCCTCCCTTTGAAAGGGGGGCCTGGGCTGACCCGGGGCCCGAAGAAGGGGGAAGAGGGGGGCTCGCTTCCAAGCCCCCCCCTCCCTTTAGCTGGGGCCCCCCCAGCACCAACAAATTTAAAAAAGGGGAGAGGAGGGGATAGCTTCGGAAGACCCCCCCTTTTCCAAGGGAGGGGGGTAGCTTGAAGCTGGGGCCCCCCTTTGCAATGAGACGTGCGCGCCACGAGAGCGCTCTTTCGTACTTTCTGTTCCTCTGACACTTATGTCGCTGGAGATCGCCGTCAAGTATAACCTGCGGCTCTCTGCGAAGGGGCTGTCCACAACTCGCGTACGCAATCAACGCGGGTGAAGCGTCTCGGAGGCACTACCAGACTGAAGTGGAACCACAAACGTTCAGGCTCCACAGAAAATTAGCGCCAGGCGAGATCCGATGTGAGTCATGACCCTCGGCCCGATCAGTTCTCGAAGAAAGTGGTTCATACTCGGCAGTCATGATCTGGTCACTAGTCATCGTCTTGATGCAGGCACGGATTTACAGCTGTGCCGCATTTCAATCGCAGTAGCCATGGAAACCAGCAGCCTCCGATATCCTTATGTCGATGACACACACACTTTGGCCAGATCAGCAGACGGGCGCCAGGCGCCGAAGGAGTGATTCCTGGCAGGCGCGCATGGCAACTATCAATAACCTTCCTCGAAAACTCAGCGAAAACCGCCGACCGACCATGGGGGGGAAAGCAGCCTGCCGTGGAATATTCACTTGGCTGAGAGACCCCACCGTTGACTTCATCCACAACATCCTGCTGCATGGGCTGGAGCAGGTGCAGCTGGTGCCGCGATATGTGTCCATCGAGGTCCATGGGCAGCTGGAGAAGGCGTGAGCCCGAGTTCAGAATATGAACAAACGCTGTTTGAGCAAAAACTGCTGGAAAGAAGAAACAATGGGCGTCACGGGCCAGCATTGGAAGGGCGGACAGAGGAAGGACAAGACGATCCAACACGGACACGAGGACTCAAACATTAAAGTAATAGTTAGCCCCTCTCGGTGAGGATGGGGATGGAGGAGAGCGAGCGAGGCAGGGCGACAGAGGGGGAGGGCAGCATTCAGGAGGGGGCGGGGAAGAAGAAGAAGACAATGTGGCGGGCCCTGTGGCAGAAAAGGGGGCTGTATGGCGTCGGCGCGGCCAAGCAGAATGGAGAGAGGGGTGCCTGAACGCGGGTGAAGTGGTAAAGACCTCGGTCTCGGAATTCGTCGTCTGGTCACTCCACTGGACCTTGTCCAAGGCAGGGGGAGGGTAGATGGGGTAGGAGGGAGCTGAAGGAGGGCACAAGAGATTGAGAAGGAGGACAGCATGATCGTACGGAGGGTTACGAAAACACGTACACGCCAAGCCCTGCAACACAGTGCACATATATGCATCTAATACTAAAGCATTGCATATACGCACGTGTGCGCGTGTGCGTGTGTGCGTGTGTGCGTGCAAATAAAGTGCAATATCAAATCCTCTACATATCCAAACTGAATTCAAATCTTGGTGGGCATAACCACTCGGCCAGGCCGGGACGGGAGATCCACCAGGCCCTGCGCCGTAAAGGGTTTGCGAAAATTTGGTGCAACCTTAGTGCTGCTGCACAAAGAAAACGACATGCATGTCACACTAATCGGCAGCATTCAATTTCAAACTGCTGGCTGCGCTTCCCGCTGTACGCATCGCCTGCTTCGTCAGAGCAACGTCTGTGCCCGAAGCTCTAGGACTCAGACCAAGAAATGCCAAATCGACAAACTTCGACGAACGTGTGAGTGAAGCTTATCATTTTGTTCATGCGGTAACTGCTGTCTACCACTCCTCACAAGCAAGAATGAGGGGTATCGGTAGGGGCGACCAGCTCAGATGGGCAACATCGAACTGGACTCCGCGACACATCGCCGACAGATCGGCGATAGGCACCCGATAGCCAACATGCACAGTCTTGGACGGGGTGGGCTATGGGGCCACTATCGGCGATGACCCCCCCCCCTGCGCTTACCCCCCCTAACGCTGCCCCTGAGCGAGAGAACCACAGGCCTTCGATCCAGATCTGAGGTCCAGAAGGCTTGAGATGCGAGGCGGGCATCACCACTGCCTGGGGATCATCTTCGAGAACGTTCGAAGGCGAAAGATATGAATAAACCTGCCTCCCCCCCTTGGGCCAGAGCACATCCCTACCCACTCTCTGCCAAGGTCCCCGACACTCGCTCCCCAAGGTGGTGGTTATGGATCAATCCCCGCCTCGGATGAGATCCGACCATGGGAAAGCGATTCACTGAAGCTTTTGGTCGTCCCCATGGCGCCCGATAGCGCACCCACTTGCGCGCAAAGCGGACAGAGTGCATCTCCCTCACATGGCGCTATTGGACGGTATTGGTCGCTATTGGAAGCTACTTAATCGCTATTCGGCGCCACTGGGCGCTAGCGGGCGATATTTGGAGCTATTGAACGCAATTGGGCGCTTTTCGCCATTCGCCTGTACACGTTCAACCCAGGACCTTCTGTGCCTTACTGTCTGACGACCACGAGAGACCGCGAGGCCGCGAGATCTGAGACCGCAGGCACGAAGACCCAGACACCCGAGACCTTCGCAAGACCAGCCCAGAGTGGCCCGCAACTGGCAGCCAGGCCGCGGCTCCAGGCTCCCTGCTGGATCCCGAGAGTGCCCGCGGCTCAAAGAAAGCCCGCGATACTACATCGGCCAGGAGGCCAGGAATGCTTCGCGGGCGACCCGCCGATCGCGGAGGCTCCAGGAGCGGCTTCGTTCTGTCGGAGGCGGAGGCGGAGGAAGCCTCCCCTGGAAACTGCTTCGCGGAGGGGGCCCGCCAGGGATGTTGGCCCTGGGGATGTAACATGTACCGTGGCATTGCAGCTGAGATCTCTGCGCCAACGGCCCGGGCTGCGGGAATCACCTCTGGAATTTCGCACCACCTTCCAAACAACCGAAGAATACAGCAACCTAAAGTGTCGGAGGCTCGCGCGGGATACAGCCGGACCTAGGACTGAATAGGATCCTTCAAGAACACAAGGCCCTCCGCCGGTCCAAACTGAACAATGTTCGAGGGTGCCCTCCCGTGGGATGCACAAGCACATACCAACAAGCACGAAAACAGCAGGGTACCCTTCCCGAACTGACCGCGACCTTATACCTCGGTCCGACCGTATCTTGGACCCGCGCTGACCCCCCTCCCCGGCGCGCGGAGCACGCCAGGAGCAGCGCCAGAGTCGCTGCCAAAGGGGATCGGCGCCGATTCAAGAAACCCGGGCAAGGGGAGGGAAAGTGAGAAGGGGCGAGCCTTCTTAGAAGGCTCGGACGTCCCTCGGCCTTCTGAGAAGTTGCCTCAGCCGCAGCCTTCCCCGAAGACACAGACAGCTTCTCAGAAGGCGCGAGGGACTCTGAGACGCCCCGCCGCCTTCTGAGAAGGCCTTCTCCTTCTCACTTCCCCCCCTCGCTCGCCGCCGAGCTTATGCCAGGCGCACGGACGCACTGCGGCTGAAACCATGTTTCGTTGGGGGGAGGCGCATCGTTTGAAGTCCCACTCTCTTCACTGTCGGTGCTCGCGCGCAACCGAAGCCATCTTGCCACAAACCCTCGGCTGTGGCAGCTCGCTCCCGCTGTGACATTTACTCCTTGCCCGACAGTGGGACGAAACAACTCGTGTGGCATCTTATGGAAGCTTCCCACGCCATCCTGCTGGCCCTCAAGAATCGACGCTGACCGACAATACTCGGTGCTAGTCGACTAGGATCGACGCTAAGTAGAGAGAGAGAGAGGGAGAGAGAGAGAGAGAGCAGGGAAGCAACGAGAGGCGAACCGTATGGTTAACTAGGGCACCCTGATAAGTCTGGAAACTACACAACACTTTTAAGCATGAATTCGGACGGATGGGCACGGATGGTTCAATGTTAGTCTCATCCGTTAGCCCATGGGCTCATGGATGGGCCCGACTTCCAAAATGACTACAATCGGCTCTCCACCAGCCCGACGAGGTCAAAGACATGTTACCTCAGGAGGTCAATAGCCCCCCGGAATAGAAGCTGCTTTTCTTCCGACTCAGACTAACCTACCTGCATGGCTTGCCCCCCTCGTCCTCCGTTCCAAACTGTACTGGGCAGAAAAAGGTGTGCAAGTGGATCCCAGCTTGCCCCCCCTTCATGCAAGGAAACCCGCAAGAGGCTACAAACGCAAGCACACCGATGGAAGATCTCGACGGGTGCAGCAGACGACGGCGCACCATGCCGCAGCAACAAGCGTGCGGGAATAGCCGCCTCATAGCTGATGAGGCTGGCCTCCAACGTGTGCAGCGCCGCCGGCGCATCCCACTGCACCTCTCGGGGCAGCGGCGGTGGGGTGGCGGTGGCCACTGAGTTGGGGCAGCGAGTCCCGAGCAGAGCAACACGCACCACGACCACGACGTCGCCGACGACAACAACGGAGACGAGGCGAGCAAATGATCTGGGCCGATGCATAGGTTTAAGAAAGGGCCCTCCCAGCGAAGCTTGGTACGCAGCGCATCGCTGAACGCTGACCGTTGCTGCGATGAGGTCACATGCCTCTCGTGGGGGCTCAGAGACTGCGAGCGGGCGCGAGCGAAGCAAACTCCCACAAGACATACACTTCCAGTCTACGGTCAAGAAACTCGGGGACCAAGATGTGATTAGCGTGTTGGGCCGACCGTGGTGGGCCAGAACTGGCGGCGCGACACGCTAAACAAACTCTCCTGACTTTAAATCGATGGGCGGAACGGGGGTCGGGTTCGCATTTCGCCTCGGCAGCAAGCCGAGCGGAACACCCTATGACATCGTTCTTGTATTCATTGGGGGCAACACGTGTTACCCCGAAGGGGGGGAGGGGGGGCGGGCGGGGGGTACCCGTAACGGCGGCCGCGCGTGCACCCGCCAGGGTGGGTCCGAGCCACCAGCACATCAATCGCGTGTGTGAACCACAGTCCCTGTGTACACGACAATGCTCAACGCCTGCATGCCAGCCCCTGCGTACACGACAATGCCCAGTGCTTGCGTGCCGCCTGCGTGCCACACAGTACCTCCGTACACCACAGCAGTCGCGCGCACCACAGCATGTCGTCGCCTGCGTACACCACAGTGCCTGTGTACACTGCAGCAGCAGCGTGCGCAACAGCGCCTGTGTACACCAGACTGCTGCGTGCACCTGAATGCTTGTGTACACCACAGCGCCTGCGTACACCACAGCAACAATGTGTACCACAACGCCTGTGCACACTACGATGCCTCCGTGCACCACAACGCTTGTGTGTGCACCACAACACCAAACTTGATAGCGGGCACATTAGTAGCTTAAGAGCACCAAATTGCGCTTGTGAGTACCACAGTGCGCCACTCACCTCCTGCTCCTCCTCCTCCTCCTCCTCCATCTCCACCTCCTCCGCCCCTTCATTTTCCTCCTCGTCCCGTCGTCGCCGCCAGAACCATCGGGCACCGACCGGGAAGGCCGACTTCGACACAGAGGGCCCGCTCGCTCCGGCGGGCCCGGGCGGGCTGGGCGTTTCGCCTGAGACGTCCTTACCATCTATGACCCTGAAGCATCAAACTGACCACAGTCTCACACATGGAGGGCGGGCCGACTGCAAAACGAAAATTTCGCCTCAGCGCCGCGCACATTCATTTTCAATATTAGCAGAAGTTTTGCAGATGGAAGGCGGGTCGTTTTCAAAATGTGGCTCTCGCCTTAGCGCCACGCACATGAATTCTCAAACTTTACAATAACATCACGCCCTAGCGCCGCGCACATTCATTTCAAACATTGACAAGGGTTTCGCGAATTCCCATGCTCAACGTACCAGATACTGTGTTCTGGAAGGACTCGGGATCATGAGGGTGCAACAGGTGGGTTGATTCGTGTTGCAATCCAGGAGTGGCTTCCTGGCATGGTTCAGGATCGCCAAGAAGCAGCAGTCAGCTTGATCCGTTGCGCTGGAATCTCGAAGACAATGTTCTGGCATTCTTCAGGGTCTTCAAACGGTTGTCTTCCAACGAGTCAGTTGCCTCAGTGGATATGAACCGTTGTGGGAGACTATGAAGAGGGAACTTGGAAGGACGGCTACTTTCAACATCGTTGAGGACACACTGGTCCTCCTCCTCCTCGTCCTGCTCCTTCTCCTCCGCCTCTTCGCGGGGCTAGCCGCAGACTCTGGAAGCCCTCGGGACTCGTTCTTCAGGGCTCTCGCGGGGAAGGCCTCAACAATGGCCCTGACCAGGCGCGCCCTCCGTCTCCTCCTCCTCATCGTCCTGTCCCTCCTCTTCTGGAATCATCTTGCTGCACCGCAACGCTTTGGTACACCACAGAAGCCGCGTGCACCACAACGCCCGTGTACACCACAAACCTTCCGTACACCACAACGCTTGTTAGCACCGCAACGCCAATGCACACTACGGTAGCCATGTACCCCGCAACATACGCGTACGTGCGTGCACCACAGCGCCCGTGTACACCACATTGCGTTGGCCGTGCGTGCACGTCGATGCCTGCGTGCGCCGGATCGCCTGTAAATTCCCTGCAATGCTCTTTTGGAAACTGCAAAGCTTCAAGCTTGCGACCGGCTTGCAAGCGTTACCGCTACAAGTGCGGACAGGCTCTGGTGGGGTAAGATGGGTTTCCCCCCGGGGGGGATAAAAGAAGCATCACACGATCAGTGTGCTACATAGCCTTTTGTCCGAACTGCCCGACGGGCCACAGAATGTGTCGGCGCCCCCTGCGTGAGCAATCGGGCTGTGCGGGAGGAGCTCCTGAACCCCGAAGGAGCACAATAACACCTGGGCGACGAAAAGAAACGCGCCTCACGGGAAATGACGTTGCTACCTTACGCCGCGGCTTACGCGGACCTCCAGCGCGTCACACTTTATTGGAAACGAGAGCGCTTACGCGCGACCTTGCGCTGGCAGCCTACGTGCCAATGTCGGCGCAGTCGATCCCGTTTTCCATCGCTCGCCTGGCGACAAGAGCTTGGCGCGCGGGAACTGAGATCTGCGGCGTCGGTAGCGGTCGGACGAGCGAAGGCGAGCATGTAGAAGGGCACCGCGCCGACTCAAGAAATTTACGCGGACCTCCGAAAGCCGATGTTTAGAAAACAACTCTGTTGGTCGTCCCCATGACGCCCGATAGCGCGCAAAGCGGACAGTATCCATCCCCCTCACATGGCACTATAGTGGACGCTAGGGTAGCTATTGGGTGGCTGTTCGGCGCTGCTGGGTGCTATTGGGCGCAATTTGGCGCTATTGCGCGCTATTCGCAAATACGCGTTCAATCAGAGACGAGCGGAAACTTCCGTCAAGTACTATCTAACGTGTGTCCTTGCCGTGTCTTCTGACGAATATCCATCCTTCATCGAATGAGGCATTCAGGCACCTCGAGGTCCCCAGATCTTGCCAGAATCGGATTGCTCCACGAGGACGCCAGCCAACACCTCCCCAACAGGGTGGACCCAGACCCCTGACATCATAGTATTGGCGTACTCGAGCGCGTCACAGCAGCTTGGTTTCCACCATAGTCTGACAAGCTTGCTTAGATGGAATGGAGTGGGCTTCCTGGGGCACAGATCGAAAGATACATGCATGATTGGCAGAGCAGCGGACGCAAAGGCGGCGGAGGAGGGAAACAGCCTCGGGCTCTTTGCCAGGCCCACAGGGGTGCACGCAAGAGCGGGCATACCAAAAATATTAAACCCAGCTCGCTGATATACTGGCGGCGTCCATCATGGACAGGTGTGTGTGTGTGACAGGATTGCCCCCCAAGCGGTGCATCCCCGAGCCCCCCTCATTTTCTGAGCGGCGGGGATGGGGGGCAAGAGATCGTCCACGGGCTACCCATACCAGCAACGTCACGTGTTTGTTCACAACGTTCGCGTCGTGATCGTTTCCTTCGCGACGCGAGAGGGTCTGTGCATGGATCCTCTCACCCCTCCCTCCGACATTCCCGCCTCCAGGGTCTGCAACGTCGAGGAGTAATACGCGAGGTTGAGTGGCACCCCAGGCCTCGGCGGCGCCCGTACGGTTAGCGACACACCTCGCGCCGCCTCTCGCGGCGATCGCGCGGGCCAGGGGAGGCGAACGGTGGGACGGCCACCGCGAGCCATCCGAGCCCGTGCAGCAGGAGAAGGATCACTGCTAAGATTGCTTGAGGGGGTGAGGAACATGATAAATCGATGCTACGGTGAAGTCTAGCTGATCTAACCTAGCTTACCCTTGGGCCACACATGCCGAAAGTGGCTGGAAGGGTATCGCTAGCTCAACAAAGTGGGCTCCGCCCAAATCTCTGCCCCCCGTAAGCCGTTTAGGGCACTTGCAGCCCGCTGGTAAGCTAGACCAGGCCATGATACTGAATCCCCTTAGCAAACCCAGCGGTGATCCAAGTAGACGCATTTTTTGTTGCCGCAGACCCAGCGGGCGCGCGGGTCGGTCGAGCGGCCCAGGGGCACTGGTCAACGAACTGAGCACTGCAATAGGCAGGGAAACGAGAGGTAGTGCGGCCGCGGATGGCAGCAGCGAGCGTGGGGGGGCAAACCCGGACCATGAAGGACTTCGTCAGCGTGCTGCAGCCCAGGCTCGCTCGAATCGGTGAAAGCATGACGTCAGATCTTCCCGGAAGAGGCCCAGTACATCGGCGTGCATATCCAGGGGAATGCAGCCTAGTCGCACGCAGGGGGGCGACGACGACGACGACGACGACAAGCCCCGAGTCCGACGCTACGAACAAAATGCAACACCGTTGCAAATCACGACCTGAGCCGTCTACCCCATCTTTCTGCAGCACTTATCGAATTCGATTATTCTTCTGAAAAAGGTCCCTGGGCTCGATGCGCGTCGAAATCCCATGGTGCGATCAAGCTGCGACTGGGCGGAGGAGGCAACTGCGCGGGCACTGCGGCCCCCGGGTGCAACAGCGTCCACCCCAGACAACCGTGCTGTCGCCCCTGCCTGGCGTGCTTAGAGCGCGGCCGCGGCCGCCCCCCCAAACCTCTCAAACACACCCAAAAACCGCCTAACATCCTTGACCGTCCTCGAACCTCGACCCTGAGCTTGCGACCCCCTTAGTGGTGACCCACCTTGGCATTGCCTGGTATACACTCTCCTCCGACACGACATGTTTTCAATGACGTGGGCAGCGGGGGATCTCAGCCCCACGGCTGGCCAGCCCGAGTAATTGTCGGACCGTCTGGGGGCAGGGAGACGGCCCTCCATGCCGATGCCGAGAGTGTCAGCATGCTGGCCAGTATGATACGCCTGAATGAAAAGGTCGGTTTGGGACCAGTCATTCCACGGTCCTTGGGACCGTCGAGGGCCCCCACAGGCCGAAGCATAGCAACAACAAACAGCAGCGTTCACCAACGCGGGCGCCAAACAGTATGCTTGTAGCGGCATGCGTTGCGCTATCTAGATGGAACGACCTATGTGGTGCCATTCGTTTTAACACACGATTTGACACAGCCCATGCTCGTGCAAACATCCCACCCACCCACCCGCAACTTGGTTTGCAAAACCCATACGATGGCGATTGCGATGCATGCTTGGCGTTGGCTGGTGCATCTCTGCCGCCGCGCCAACCCAAACACGCGCGCGCAGCGGCCAGCTAGTTTGGCGCCACCGATGCGGCCGCGGGGGTGCTGACCGCTCGGCGCATCCCAGCGGGCACCTCAGTGCGAGTCGACGACTTTGGCGGGCGCGGTACCATGGCAACGCCGATAACGGTAGACACGATGATGATAGTGGCGATACTGGTGACGATGTAGGCACCGACGAAAGCGCGGCAAGTGCGGGCTCCGACGAATATCACGCCGACAGCGATGACGGCGTCCTCCCGTCGGTGATGGAGGTTTTGTAAAGATTTCGACATGCGCGCGCGGCCGACGCGCGAGAGTGGCACGCATGGTTTTTTTGACGCGGATCGTGCCCCCCCAGCATGCGCGCATGGGCGTGCGAATGCCCTCGGCATGCGGCGCCAGCGGCCCGTTTGGCAGAATTCCATGAAAATCGCGAAAAGCCGATGACTGTCTCAAGGGTTCGCAAGAGCGCGCGCAAGCATTTTCGACACTGATGCTGCGAAGCCATACGATGTGGGGACAATTTGGTTTTGAAATCGTTGCGTAATCGAAGACGTTTGAAGGATTCCGGCATGCGCGCGCGACGACGCGCGCGCGGGAGCACTTCATCTTATTTGTTGCAAAGGATTCTCGCGACGGTACGTGCGCAAGGGCGTTTGAACGATTTCGACACGGGCGCGCGCGAATCCATGGTTTTCCTGTGAATTCTCAAGAGCGCGCGCGAAAGCTTCTTTCAAAAATTCGCGCTGCGAAACCATGTGCCGTTTTGAATGGTTTCGGGGTGCTCGATTTTGAAATCCTTCCGAAACCTAAGAGTTCCCGAAATATTTCGGCATGCGCGCGACAATGCGCGCGCGTGCACTTCGTCCCGCTTTGTGCAAGGGATTCATGACAACGGATGCTTCTCGCCAAACGAGCGCGCGCGCATAGAATTCTTCTGTCGAGGGCGGCGGGGGGGTTCAAACCCGGCTCGGCTGGGATGGCAAGGGCCCATAATTATGAAGGGCGACGGGATAGAAGCATATGTACATTGCAACGCAAAAGATGCGCCGGCAAAGGGTGGGGCGGGGCAATTCTTCTTTGGGATGGAGACTCTACGCGGTGCAATTCACCCATGCTCGCAGTGAGTTGTCCACTCCACTGCTCGCGCAATCACCCCGCCCACCCGCTCGCGACCTGGTTCGTAAAACCCATGCGGCGGCGATTGCGATTAGTGTTTGGCGGCGGCCGGTGCGTCGCTGCGGCCGCGCTGGGCGGCCGCGCAAGCTCGCGCGCGCAGCGGCCTGCTACTGCGGCCCGACCGACGCGGCCGCGGTGGCGCTGACCGCTGGGCTCTTGCCAGCGGGCATCTCAGCGCGAGTCGGTGAATCGGGCGGGCCCGGCATCATGGCGACGCCGACAAAGGTAGACGCGATGGTGAGGGTGGCGGCGATGGTGGCGACGGCGGCGATGACGACGGTAAGTTCAATGGCGGCGCCGAACACGATCGCGCCCGCCGATAACGGCGACGATCTCCTCGCGTCGGCGACGCAGGCAGGTTCTGGGGGGAATTCGACGCTCGGCCGACGCGCGCGAGTGGCCCGCGCGGAATGATTCGACGCGGATCGCGCCCCCCCGCCCCCCCCCCGCACGCGCGCCAGGACGCCCGGGAGAGGTCGACGCGCGGCGCGAGAAGCCCGATGGGGGATTGGCAGGAAGTGTTGAAGATATATATATATATGTGTATACACATACATACATAGGTACATACATACATACATACATACATACATACATATATATATATATATGTTCACACGCTCGTATTTATGTGCATGTATAGAAACTGTCGTGTATATACATATATATGTATACAAGCGAAAGCGTAGACGCGGGCTTCTGCGCTGGGAAACTGACGTCGCGAAACAACGCGCGCGTTGCATGTGTTTGGGGGCGCTCGCTGTTGAAATCCTCGCGGGGCATCGATATTTGAGTGGCTTCGGGATGCGAGCGCCAAAAAAAAGAAGAAGCACGCGCGCGCATGTCGCCCTACTTGTCTTGCGACAACACGCGCGCGGTCGTTCGAGAGATTTCGACGCGCGTGCGCGAGAGCCCCGCACTTCACCCCTTCCGTGACGCGCGCGCATTTGCACCGCTGCTCCTGCACCGTCTCCTCGACGACCCGCCTTTCCCCCCCTCGTCGTCGCGTTCCCCATCGAGCCCAGGGGGGCAAAAAGAACCGAGGAAGAGTGGGCCCTGCACTCATCGAAATCGATGTCCAAGAATCCCTAGGCATTTTCCCAATCTGCGTAGAGGTGCCGCGGGGGCTCAGCCAGGGCCGAGCGCAGCTCGGAGCGATCGACGCGCGCAGCAACAGCAGCCAGAAGGTTGCGGCGCATCTGGGGGGCCCGCGGGGAGGCTTGCTGGGCGAGGCCGAACGCGGCCCCCGCGGATCGAAACCGCCGAGCTCGGACCGCGGGAGGGCGAGGAGGACGGTCCATATCTGCTTGTGCGCCCCAGGATATCGAGTCCAAGACTGATGCCAAGACTGCCCGCGAGTCCTGAGCTCGAAGGGTTCCCAAAAGTCAGGGCCTGGGCATTCGACGAACTTTCTCTGGCGCACGGGGCCGGGCCAGGACAGCCCGCCACGCATCGCACAGCGTCCCAGCTTCGCGAACTGCGCGCCCATCATCCACTACTGGAGATCGCCGAGGCAGAAGCACTCCAGGGCCGACAGCATCGAGTTCTGGACCAGGTATAGAAAAAGAGCGCGCTTCCATCTCCGAGGGATTCAAAGACCACGCACCACCCAATCCATAAAGTTCAGCACGCGCTGCACTCACTCGGCGAGACAACTCGTGCCAGGTAGTCTAGGTCGGAGACACCACATGGCCCAAGTATCTGGCCGCGTCCGCCCCCTTGCCCGAAACAGATCCTGGCTTTGCCAGCCACTGATTGCAAGCGGACGTCCAATGGCACCGATGTGGAAGATCGTGAATTGCTTCTATCGCGCCGCTTCATGCCGTCCAGGCGGGGGACCGCACTCATGCCTCGCAAGCTTGCAAGCACCCAGGACTGCGGACGCGACGAAAGGGTGGCCCATCAGCCGCCGACGCGGGGCTTCATGGAGAACATATCGTCGTCGCTAACCATCTCGGTGACGACGTCCTCGTGGCGCACATCGCAGAGCTCTCAGTCGGCCCTGTCGGCGGCGCCCTCCACGACCTTGGCGAAGGCGGGCCAGGCCGCGCTGCCGAAGGCGCTGGAGAGGTCCTTCATGGCGTTCGCGAAGCTGCCCCGCGAGCGCCCTAGCCTCCATGAAAGGCACTGGGCCACCGAGATAGCCCCCTGCCCGCCTCCTGCGCCGAGCGAAGCCACGCGCCTAGAGGGGCGCGCGGATCTCGGGGCTGGAGGGGCCGTGCGCCTGGAGGAAGCCCTTGCTGATGGCGGGGAGTGAGCGGGTGGCCCTGTTGCCCAAGGCCCCCACCTTCGCGTCGCCCTCAGAAAGGTCGTGGCCCATGCTCCGAGACCAGCGCGACGGAGCTAGGTTCGAGGGGCGGATGGCCGTCAGCCCCAGCAGCGCGATCTCCCTATACATTGTAGATGTCCACGTTCACAGCTGGCCGCTCGAAACCCAGCCCGAACCTGCCAGGCTCGGTCTTCTTGTCAGCGGATAGGCACAAGTCCCAGAACTCCGCTGGCGCGGCGTTCTACGGCGCCGACCTCCTCTTCGCCGCGGTGCGAAAGTAGGGCGTGAGCAGCGCGTGGTCCTCGGCGGCCTTTTAACGCGCGTTCGCTCTTCTCCCGGGCGGGGATGTTAAAAGGCGCAGCGTCGTCGCGCCGACGACGCCAAGCGTCCCAGTCCAGGTCCTCGACCATCATCCCGCCGTCCGAGCCAGCCCCGCGCCGCACTTCCAGCTGGGTCGGCGTCCATCGCGATGGCAAGCACCGCAGCGACTGCGCGCAGCCTGACGCGAGAGGCGGGCTGCCTCTTGCATCCGTCGACATTGCCAGGCATCCCGAACCTGCTCGAGGAGGGCCTCCTTGGCCCCCCTCAGCGCCTGAGGGCGCTGGTGAGTCAGGTCACGGGACAGGTCCTTCAGCTTGCTCTCGATCCGCTCCAGGTCCCCGGCCGTGGCTGTTGAAAAACGCGTATCCCCCCACAGACTCGCCCCCTGCTCAGCCGCGGGAGCCGCCGGGCAACTCTTACATCCATGTTGGTTTGGTCCTGCCGCAGTGGGGGCGCCCTCCGTAAGCAGTGCCTGTTCGCTTCGGAGAGCAGCGAGCTTGGGACGTTCAGCACAATCCTGCTGAGGAGGAGCGTGCGGGGGTCGAGTGAAGTGCTTCGCCGCCACGGTGCAGAGGAGCTTCTCGAAGGCGTCCCGAAAACCGTCGGGAGTCGGTCGAACTGCCAATTCACGAAGATGTCCTTCGGCGTCCTGCAGCTGCTGGGCGACGTCGGTCAAGAACTCGTTCTTGCCCCCCCCATTGGTGATGGCCGCCATCAGCGCATCGCCGCACAGCCTTGGGGGCGGTGCAGGCGGGAGGTCCCCTGGATCCGTATCGCGATGGATCTGCAGCAGGACGGGGATGTGGTCCCGAGGTGGATCGCCGCGCACAGGCTGAAGCACGTCGCCAAGTCGCGAAACATGTGGGCGCGCTGCAAGCGATCCATCCAGCCCCTCGGAAGAAATCCATAGTCGATCGCGCTTCCCACTGGAGGCGTCGTGCTCGAATAGAACGTGTAGGCATGGTTGTAGAACGAGGTGGCCGAGATCAGGTGTTATTCCTCCAACAACAGGCCGACTGCCTCCCCAGCCCCCCGCCGCATCCGCTCGCGGGTGCGGGTGCTGCCCAGCGCCGAACTCGGTGGCTCAAAGCAGCTGCCGTTCCGCACCTGCGCCCCGATGCCGTGGTTCGCATCCGAGTAGAAGAGCGGCAACGTTCTGCACGGGAACTGTATGAGGACCTCACGCCACCACATCGTCAATGCCGTGACTGTTTCGTGGTGCACCCCGTTTTCGCGGTGAGTTCGCGGCTGGGGCGGGTAGTGGAGCACGCCGTAGGTGACGTCGACCGTGCCCTTTCTGGATGCGGACGGCAGGCCCGGCCCCGCCAGGCGCGGCGGTGGTGTCCACGTCTGGCGGACGTGTTTGTCGGTGTAGCCCGAAGATCGGGCGCCCACCGAAGCGGGAGCGAAGGACGCCCGCGCCAGCTCGGCACACCGCCTGGGTGCCGCACGGCAGCACAGCGTCGTAGCTCTTGGCGTGGTGGAGGATCTCCTGCATGCGAAATCCACCCGCCCACATCGGGTTGCATCCAACAACTCGCAAGGCCGAGCTGAAAGATGGCGCCATCCGCGGCCCCTATCTCGTGCCGTGAGCAGCGCACATGGCAGCTGGACATGGCGGCGCGGCCGCGCGAGGAACCTCGCACATCGTTTTCAGCAAGGAGATCCTCAAGCAAGCTAAATCGATTATCATGTGGGGTCTCCCCGTCGACAGTCTAAACGGCGACGGGGCGGCCACCGCGGCCACATAGCCGCCAGACCGGCCGTCAGGCATACGACGGGCGGCGACGAGACAGCGACGGGGTGGCGACGGAGGCCACATAGCCGCCAGACTGGCCTTCAGGCCCAGTTCCTTAGAAACGAAGTAAGAGACCCCAGGTGCAAGCACAATTTGGGAAAAGAGATGCCCGTCGTCACTTTTCACGACGCGAGACGGTCTGGGGGGCTCAACCCTCGGAGCCCGATCCTCGAGGAACAAAAGAACTACATGTCGTGATTGCTTCACAACGCGAAGGGGGTCTGGGGAGCTCGGTCCTCGGAGCCAGATCCTCGAGATCCAGACCTCCCCGTCGATCCGACGTTGCAAAAACTCTGCAACATCGAGAACAATCACGACCGGAGCCCGTGAGCTCATCGTTCTGCTGCATGTTTCAAGCCGTATCGATCCGTGCGGGTCCGGGGGCACTCGTCTGGGCGAGAACGCCCAATATGAATTATCCCGGCGAAGGACCTAACCGTATCCAGTTGTGTATACCGCGTCGTGGGTACCGCTTGCGATGGAGCTCCCTTTGGCGTGGCGAAACGTGTGATGGGTGTGCCAGAATGCGAACGCAGCCGTTGGGGCACTCGGTGGAGCTCCCTATGGGGCCACGAGACGTGTGAGGGGTGTGCCGAAATTGCGCAGGGGAGACGCATGCGAACCCTGCTAGCTCCCGATAAGGCCACGAAGCGTTTGAGGGGTGTGCCGAAATGGTGCAGGGCGGCCGCATGCGAACCCTGCCTCTGGGGACTTCGGAGGAGTTCCCTATGAGGCCACGGGACGTGTGAAGGGTGTGCCGAAATGGGGCGGGCGGCCGCATGCGAACCCTGCCACTGGGGCCTTCGGTGGAGCTCCCTAGGCCACGAAACGTGTGAGTGGTCAACGACATGGGGCGTGGTGGACGCATGTGAATCCTGCCGCTGGGGCCTTCGGTGGAGCTCCCTATGGGGCCACGAAGCGTGTGAGGGGTGTGCCGAAATACTGCGGTGGGATTCGCGCGACCCCTACCATTTGGGACTTCGGAGGAGCTCCCGATGGGGCCACGAAACGTGTGAGGGGTGTGCCGAAATCGTGCGCGGGGGGACGCATGCGAACCCTGCCATTGGGACTTCGGAGGAGCTCCCTAAAGGGCAACGAACCGTGTGAGTGGTGCGCCGAAATGGTGCAGGGGGACGCATCTGAACCCGGCCACCAGGGCCTTCGGTGGAATTCCCCATAGGGTCCACGAGACTTTTGACGGGTGTGCCGAAATCGTGCAGGGGGACGCATACGAACCCTGCCTCTGGGAACTTCGGAGGAGCTCTCTATGGGGCCACGAGAACGGGTGCCGAAATGGTGCGGGGGGGCGCGTGCGAGACGTGCCATTGGGAACTTCGGAAGGGCTCCCTCTTGGGCCACGAGACGTGTGAGGGGTGTGCCGAAATGGGGCGGGGGGACGCACGCGAACCCTGCCTTGGGGACTTCGGAAGAACTCCCTATGGGGCCAAGAAGCGTGTGAGGGGTGTGCCGAAACGGTGACAGGGAACGCGTTTTACCCCTGCCACTGGGACGTTGGGTGGAACTCCCTATGGGGCCACGAGACGTGTGAGGGGTTTGCCGGAATGAACATGCGGAGGGTAGAGGCAAGGAATGCGAGGAGGGCGAGGAGAAGAGAGGGAGGGAACGCGGGGCGCTGCCACTTCAAAACGAGGACCCAACACCACAGGATGGTTGGGAAAACGTTGCAACGACAGGATGTCAGGGGAGCTCGATCCTCGGAGCCCGATCCTCGAGGCTCGCCCACCGCGCGGGCACAACGACGCTGGCGACGCCGGCGACGCCGGCGCACGGACGGCCGAATGCGTCCGATCGGTCGGGCCCTGGCGCCCACGCTGCGCGCCGGACCCCTCCGATGCCACGAAGGACACGATGCCGCTGCGCGGCCCCCAGCCGTTCGCGTTCTCCGCCTGCACCTGCGGACGGGCGACGGCGACGACGGCGGCGGCGACGGCGGTGGTGCTGGCGCGACAGCCCTCGAGACTCGCCGATCGCTCAGGCTCGACGAATGCTGCAGGAAGACTGGGTCTAGGGCTCTGGCTGTGATTCTCCATGCTGGCGCGATGATTCTGCAGCGTCGAAATTCAGGGGACGGCGGCGGCGGCGACCCCCTCAAATGCTGAAGAGTGACCTCGTAAGGTTTGTTTCATGAACAGCCTGCGGGGGCAATCGCTGGGCGGCAGGACCGTCAATGAGCCCAACGCAGCGGCAGTTGGGAGAGTACTTCTCAAGTGGCATTGCTTGTCATTGTTTAGCCTTGCTTGTCCCTGCATGTCCCTGCTTGGCGTTGCATTGCCTTACTTGGCATTGTGTTGCTCTGTGTTGCTTTGGTTTTGCTTGGCGTTGCTTCACATTGCTTGGCAGTGCTTGCAGTGCTCGACATTGACTTGCGTTGCTTGGCATTGATTGGCATTTCCTGGCATTGTTTCGGATTGCTTGGCACTGCTTGGCATTCCTTGGCATTGCTTTGCATTTCTATGCAAGGCTTATCAATTCTATGCAGCTCTTGGCGATACTTGGCGCTGCCGCAGAAACAATAAGGAAACGGTGCCAAAGAACCCGGGAAACCCGTGAAAGGCCGGCCTTCCAAAAGAAGATATGGAAACAGTGCCAAAGGGAACTGGGGAACCCAAAGGAACGCGAGGAAGGCTGGCCATTCAAAAGCAAAAAGGACACAGGACCAAAGGGGCCGGGGGAACCCTGGGAACCCTATGAGGTTCCCGGAGGATGCCATAGGGTTTCACGACCGGCGAGCCCCGGGAATGCCCGCCCTTCATATCGTTGAATACCATGTGTTTTCGGCCGCGATCGGTAGCGACCGATCGGCACTCCAAATCGGTCGCGATCGATCGCGACCCATCCCAAAATGAGTCGCGACCGGTCGCGACCTGCGAGGCCATTGTCTATACACCACCACCGCCCGCAAACAAAAATGGTGGCAGAGCTTGTCGGGGTGTCGGGGTTGGGGCTGTGCCACACGACGCCACGCCTCCGCGGCGAACAGGAGCGCAGCGCGGTGCGCCATGGGAAGAAAATTCCCCAAACAACGACCACACATCTTGATAGTGGTGTATGAAAACCGGAGACCTTTGCAATCAAAACGTACATCACAACCGCGTTCGTTTTGGTGAGTGCCGTTCCAGCCCCTGGGCGCGAGAGAGAGGGCTCGGTCGTCGCTGGCGGCGGTGCCGCGACAGCAATTGCCCCAAAAAACATATTGCAACAAAACGGATCCCGACCTTGGTCGTGGTGGTCATCTACTGTGCTGGGACGACCGATCGGTTGCAGCTGATCGGTGGCGACCGATTTGCAGCAAATCGGTGGCGGCCGAGACCGACACCGTAATTTGAAACAGAATCGGCAGCGACCGATCTCGTCGGTCGCGACTGGGAAATTCCAGTATCCACTAATCAGGGCCTTGCAAGACAACAAAAAACGGGAACCCCGATGAGGAACCCCAGTGCGACCGCGTCCAGCACCCACCGGTTCTTCACAAACAGGAAAAAACCCTGGGCAAAGTCTAGCTGGGAAAACATAGACTCTGGACGAAAAGGCGGTCCTAGGGAATGGGCCGAGCCCTCCATGTGTCTACGTTGCAAGAAAGTAGCGACGTCGAGGGTCTGGAGACGGCAACGGCGGCGCGGGCGGCGAAGGTTTCTGGGCGCTTCTGGGGGCTCCCTTGTCGTCACGGCTGGGCGCAGCTCGAAAAACTTGCCAAGGTCAGCCCAAGGGCATGGTCCCGAGAGAGATTTTGAGTGGATTCGGGCGGGACGACGGCGACGACGTTGACGGCGACGGCGACGACGGCGGCGGCGGGGACACCGGCGACGACAGCGGATGCCGCGTCGGCGACGGCGGCCACAGCGACGAGCAGGATCGAGGGTTGAGTTGTCTGGACGTGTTCGAAATCCTTTGTGAGCCTCCAAAGGCCTCTGGAGGCCCCCAGCCCTCCCTCCAAGAAGAAAGTATCACAATGACCTGACTATCCAGGCTGGCTCTTCAAACTTGTGGTGCGTTGGAGGCCTCTTTCAGGCCCTGGGGCAATCAAAAAACTGCCCGAGTCGAAACTGGTCCCCAGAGATCGAGAAGACGACGATATTGACGACGACAAGGGTCGAGGACTGAGGCTTCTAGAGCGCTTTGACGATTCGTGGGGCCCCCAGAGGCCTCCCAAGGACCTCGGGAAGACCTCCAGAGACCTCCGACGACTTAAGATGGGACGGGCAAGGACGTACTATTACTGTGCGTCCTCCTTGAACCATCTTGTAGTATATCGTTTCCCGAGCGGTATGGCCAGAAAGCGCCCACCACTGAGCTGAAACTGTGAAATTTGTCGGCGCACGCGCGTCGCCACCAGGGGGGCCCCCTGGGGCTTCTCGCGGCTTCTCGCGTGATATTTTCAAAGCCAAGAGGGCCCCCACTTGCCAAGAGGCCCCGAAGACTGTCCAAGAGGGCCCCCACTTGCCGAACGATCGGCGCAAGATGCCCAAGACAGCCTGAAGACGACTCAAGAGGGCTCCAAGACGTCCCAAGAAGCCTCCAAGAGCACTCCTACGGCCAAAAGCATTGACTCCCCTTCGGTTTTCGACAAAGTTTAGCGTTCTCGATTTTCCGTCGTCCCGACGCTCCAAGACGGCCCAAGAGGCCTCCAAGACCGCCTCAGGACGGACCGAAGGGCCCGCAAGAGCGCCACAAGACTGCCCAAGAGGGCGCCAAGACGGCCGGCGGCGCAAGACTACCCCAAAACGGCCCAAGAGGCCTCCAAGAGGCCCCCCAGACGGCCTAAGAGCGCCCCGGGACGTGTGACAGGACGGCACAAGAGGAGCCATGGACGGCCCAGGAGGGCCGCAAGCAGGCCCCAACGGGGGCCCAAGCGAGGGAACACAGACCGACAATCCGAGCCTTCCGCCCCAAGAGGCCCCCAGGAGGCCCCAAGAGGCGCCCCAAGAGAACCCCAAGAGGCTCAAAAGAGGCTCCAAGAGGTCCCAAAACGGCCCCCAAGATGCTTGAAGACTGCCTCCAAGAGGCACCCCGTGGGCCACTCGCCCACCGTCCACACACGGGGACAGGCTTGACCGTGTCACCGTGTCCTTGCCACATGCTGATTCGTAGTGGTGCGCCCTAGGCTGGATTCGCCCTAAACTTGTATGCCCCAGCTGCTCTCCTAGAGCAACTATCTTCGCGCTTCGCGCTCAGCGAAGCGCGATTCTCATAGCGGCTTCGCGCCGCCCACCCCCCGAAACAGGATGAGGGACTCGCGCCTCGCTCTGAAATCTCCCAGACCTCGAAGTGCGACTAACTTGGCACCCTCGTGGAGGCCCTAGCTCTCCGACCAATGCGCTGCCCATCCAGCCAACGGCACGAACGCGGACCAGTACTATTCCCACAACTTTTATCTTGCACTCCACGCCACGCCGTACTCACGCTTTGGTGATAGCAGCGATCTACCCGCTGCTGCCTCTCGAATGAACTATGGAACCTCCTGCTGCTCCTGCTCGTCCTTCGTTGGCCTCCTCGGGCCCACCCTGTCTCTCTGACGCTGCCTCCCGCTCTTTTCGGAGCAGGCCCAGTTGAGACAACGGCGTCTCTCCCGCCCAGCCCAAAGCCGCTCGAGATCAGTCCCAAACCCCTCCCCAGCCCATCCTGACCCATTCTTCAACGCGGATCCACCCGTGGCGACGAGAAGCCTCGAGGATGAATGGCGAAAAACGATTGTGAGGCCCGTCATTTTCTCGACTGGCCCTCCTCCGACTGACACTGCCTCCCGCTCTGGGGCCCTCCTGGAAGCGGTAGGTCGACCCCGTGATGAGCGCGGGGTTGTCCTCGCAAGGGCGGGCACGCACAAACGCGGTACAATCGCAGACGACCCCTGGGGGCGGCAAATATGCGCTGTGCACCTGCCTCCAGGCTGGCGCTAAACCTAGAGATCCGACGACGCCACGAACAAATTGGAACATCATAGAGAGTCACGACTGCTAGGTTTCACGAACGGTCTAGAATCGCTCTATTCAGAGCTGTGGGACGGAACCGCATTTCGCGTGGAAATAAAGCTGATTTCAGGTAATTGCTACACATATGTTTCTGGAATTCAGATATAAAATATTTTAGCAACACTCATAGCTCCGATGGGTGCGCCATTTTGTTTTGAGCCCATATGTCGAACATTCCCCCGTACGCAGGTTGTAACAGCGTGTATATGTATATATATATATATATGTATAGGTGTGTACCCCCAGCGACAAGCTGGTACTCCAGGCTACTGTTATCTCGCAAGCTTTCCATCTAGAGGGTTAGCAGAGATCGCAACACCTGAAAAGCATTCCCGCCAAATCGCTCAAAACACAACGCGTGATGATATAGAGTTGTAGGGCGCGTTTCCTTTACCCCCAGACCCCCCCGCGAACAGATCAGTCAACATGTTAGAGGTCTTCTTGGCGAACCCCGGCGGAATATCGGCAGAAGCCCTTAAATAGCGGAAGAGCGGTGGAAGCAACCATTGAATTACATAATATTCCTTCTTTTTCTCGCAGCGGTTCAGCCGAGACACGCTGGCGACGTTGCACTGCCTCCAGTGGACTTTCTCGCCAGGGCTCGGGGCCAGAGTGAAAAAGCACATCACACACTCAGGAGCGACGTTTGAGAAGGAGGTTCGTTGGGATGGCCAGGGAGGGAGGGAGAGGGATAGTTAAAGGAGGGGAGGGTAAGGGGAGGCGGAGCTGAGGGGAGGGAGAGGGTTAAAGGAGGGGGGAAGGGAGAGAGATGGAGAGACAGTGGCAGTGGAGGGACGGAATTTCATGTAGGTTATGCCGTGTGTGATGTATGAGTCGATGCACGTTGTATGTATGCGTGCGCGCATGCGTGCAAGATGACCCGTAGTGATTGTGTGATGTCTGTCAGCGTTCTGATGTTGAGTGTTGAATGGCTGTATGTGTATGTGAATTGTGATGTTGTTTCAGTACAGTTTGAGATATGTCGATGCTGATGCTGTTGCACGTGGTTGGGCGATGTGTGATGTGCAGGCCCAAACGTCTATATCTTGCTACACGCTCTCACTCATCATGCACTGGCTTCAAGAACTCTGCCACCGCCTCCTGCTTTGGGTGCTTCTTGCCAGGATTCAAACCCAACAGCTCATCATAGGAATCAGAACCAGCACCCTTGAACAGAACCGTCTTCCGCACTCCATACACCATCGCACCAATGTCCACGCTCTCAGCAACGAGCCAGCCGGAGGGAATGTAAATCGCGTCTCCTGCGTTCACATTTGCGCTCATGATCATCACACCTCTATCTTTCAGCGCGCTCAGCGTCTCAGTGCTAGAGCTCTCAAGGTGCTTGATCACTTCTGGGAGCGTCACGCTGTCCTTGCTGAGCACCTGGCGCAAAGCAGGCACAACCTGATGAGCATCAAACATTAACATATTGACGCTCCCGTATGCCACAGTCTTGATCATCCCCAGGCCGTTGCTTGTCTGAGATAGATTGTACATTGGGATCTTGTAGCCGAACATCCACGTGCTCTCCAGGACGGTCTTGAATGTCTCTGCGCCATCCGTAGACGGGTTGATCACGAGCTTGGCATCGACACTCTTGCACATCTTCTCCATGAACTGGTCCACGACCTCCTTCCCCTCCCCAGTATTGAGAGGCTGCTGGGCCCTGCCTTGCTGCTTGCACTCAGGGGAGCTCTTGCAGCTGCCGCCGAACTTCCCAAGTTGGAAGGCGAGGGTCTCCACTTCAGAAGCAGTCTTCCACTCAGACGGGCCAGTGATGAGGAGCGGCGCCATGATAGCGTTGTCATTCAGCTCCTTGCCGGCAGGGGCCGTCCTGATGAGCCCACGGGAAATGAGCTCGTCGAATTTCAGCTTGAACAGAGGCGGCGCCAACTTCGAGGAAGCCTTCAGCTTCTCCTGCAAACGTTTTGTCTCCTCTCTCGACTTCTTGATAGCCTCGGCCGCCTCCTCCACCTGCTTTTTTTTCTGCTCCCTCTCAGCCTTCCCCTCTTGATTCTTGATGTGCCCAGAAAGAGCTCCACTTGACTGTCTCAATGACGTCAACATCTGGTTGAAATACTCGCACTTCTCACTGACTGACTCTTCGAGGCTGCTGAGCTCTGTTGCCGTGACCGCCGATGAAACCTTCTCCACTAGCTTGAGCATCTCGTTGTAGGACGCCAGTTTCGAGTTGTCATGAGTCACCTGCCCAGCGATCCCTTTCTCGCCCAAGAACTTCTTCAAGGCTTCGGCCTGCTTATCGCCCAAGTTGGCGCTCAAACTCGACTTGTGGCTGGAGGCGGAACCAATCCCCTTGCTCAAGGGCGGAGACTGCGCTGGCACGTCTTTGCCGGCCTCCTCTTTGGTCTCGACGGCCGGCGCGCCCTGCATCTTTTCTGTCTTGACCTCCTTGGAAACCTCGGCCGTTGGTCTCCCTTCGGCCACGGCCTCCTCGGGCTGCTGCGAACCCTCTTCCTCGGGCTTCACCTCGGGCTTCGTCGGGGTGGCCAGCACGAGTTGTTCCGAACGCCCTTCCAAAGGTGCCGTGCCGCTCCAAAACTGCAACGCCTGAAAGCGAATGCTCACAACGTTGACGTAGTTTTTCATGTTCTGGTCATGGTCGGGAATGCGCGCCGCATCATCCAACGCCTTTTTTCCTCATCTGCTTCAGGATATCCCCGGCCTGCCGCGCCTTGTCGACCTTCTTCTCGAGTTTGGTCCTCACCTTGGGCATCGCTGTGGCCACGTCGACGTGCTTCAACTTCTTAGATGGTGGCCCATCCTCACCGTCCTCTTTCTTGACCTCCGCCACGGGCTTACTGTCGCGATCTCCGTCGTCCTCCTACCCGCCCGTCCCTGTCAGCGTCCCTGACAGGAACGCATTGCTGCTTGAAGGGGCTGATGTGTGGCAATATTGCTTGAGGCTGTCTTTGTCCGCCTTGGTCAAGTCCTTCATCTGCTTGGATCCTTCCTCGAAGTTGGAGTCGATGTACCTTTAGACATCGCCGATCCTCTGCCTCTTCATGTAGACCCAGATGCGAGTGCTAGGCCACTCGCCCTCCTTCTCGATGCCGGGCTGGTTGCACATTTGCTTGAACTCCTCGGTCTTGACCTTCTTCGCCTCTTCTTTCGCTTCCCCCTCTGGCATGTGCTTGGTCTTGATGTCAACGTACTCTGCTACGTCCAACCACTCTTCGACATTGCGAACTTTTGTGCTGACTCTGACGCCGAACTGCCTTTTCCACTGGCCCCAATCGATGAGTCTCTTGCGGAACCGACCCTCGCAGTTGTCCTTCTCGTACTGCTCCAGAGCCTGATCCGCCTTGACTGGGTCATTGAAGATTTGATTGTATGTTTCTATCTCGCCATCCTTCTGCGCTTGGTTCTTGCAGTTCTCCGCGCCCTTGTGGTGTTGAATACAGAACTTGCCGTTGTGCTTCTTCTTGCTTCTGCATGATGCGGCGAAGCACTTATCTCGGACGCCAGTGGCGGTGCCGGCGCTGGCGCCGCCTGTGCTGCGACCCTTCCCTCTCCCTTTGCCGCGGCCTCGGCCTCGGCCATGCGCATGCTGCTCAGGGGGAGGTGGCACCTCATCGATTTCGACCGCATCGTCCCAGTCCATGGTATCTGGAGTGCATCTGGCAAGCTCGTAGACAAGATACTGCCCCTGAAAAGTGAAAACTATGGACTCTCTGACACTCGTGAGCCCAACATCTGCAAAAACTTGAAGTGACAATGATTGTTTATGAATGTAGTCGTTGATGTCGTGTTGTTTGTTTGGCGCAATGGCCCAAGACGGCCCAAGGCGACCACGAGATGCCCCAAGAAGCCCCCCCAAACGGCCTAAGACAAGCCAAGAGACCCCCAAGCCCCAAGACGGCCAGAACACTATAAGAAGCCCATGCGCCCGACCAAAAATTTGCGATGCCTAACCTAACTTGTCTGAATATGCGCGTAACTCAGATGACTCATATGTGCTCAGGGCCTGAAATGCCTACTCACGTAGCCATAGCCATCATCTCTCAACCCGTCTCGTGACAATCGCAACGCTCATGGCATAATCCTCCCGAACACGAAGGCGCGTGAGCAGAGAACTCAAACAACACCGGCGCGTGAGCGAACTCGCACCTCCAGCGAGCGAGCGCCATCAGCGTGTGAGGAGAGAGTTGCGAGTCCAAGAAGGAATCTCTTAATCTGAGCCGCCTGAGCCTGGAGCTCGAAGTACACAAAACGCAATGTCCTCGGCGAGCGAACGTAAAAAGGGCGGTTGGGATACAGAGGGAATGAGGAGGCCAAGGAGCTGATGAGCAATGGGAAGACGGCGCAGATCCAACTGCACAAAAGTATCGCCGTGGCGCCACTGAGATCATAACAAAAAATTCACCTGTCGGTTGCAAGATGTCTCGCACACTATGTACTGATAAACTCAGAACTCCTGTGAGCTGTCCAGGCCATCTGACTTCGCGGCCCTTTGCGTAATGGTCTCGGCTGAGAGCGCGCCGTGGGACCGCTTACTCTTCTTTGAATTGGGCTCAGAACTGCCCTTGTCCTCGTTATCATCATCTGAGCTGCCGCCATGGCCAGGTAGGATAGGTGTTGGGATGAACGATTTGACCTTCCTCACGTTCGCCAGAACGTAAATCATCCAAGACGCTTGAACTGCCAGATTCATCGAATTGCCCGCCGCGGTTATCTTCTGACTTTCGCCCAGCTGCTCAAACTCTGGCCAGGGCCTCGCCGCTGGGAATGTCGTATACATCCCTGGCCACACGTTGAAGCCCTGGGCGAAGAGATGTTCCTTCCCCAAGGCGAGCTTCCATCTGTCCTTCTCGAAGCAGATCACGGTGCCATGCGTGAGGAGGCAAGGGAAATCCGTGCCGCCCCGAGGGCCACGACCAGGCCAGTGGTCGATATCCGCGATGATGAAGTCATCCTCGTCAGTACCACGCTGCTGTGACCAAGCATCGAAACGATCTTTGGTGCCAGGCTGGAAGACGATATCCTTGAGAGCATCCGAACTCATCGAAGCCAACTCCTCCAGGGATATGTGGAAGCCTCGCTTGCGAGCTCGCCTCTGGTACTCGATACATCGGTCCTCATCAGAGCAGACAAAGTAGAGCCTCCCGTCGAAAATCTTCTTCGACTTGGTAGCCTTGAACCGGTACGAGTAGTCCTTCTGCACGTGCAAAGGGTCAGGGCCCACCCAAACCATGGTTTCTTTGTGGATGCCAGCGTCCATCATACGATGCCGGCGAACGCCGAGCTCGCGCTCAGTAGGACCATCGTGAACATAGACAATGGTCTGCACGTGGTTGAGGTGCGGGATGACTTTCTCTTCGACTGGGTATTGAGTAACGCACTCCCCAAGGCAGATATCTTCGCGGCACTCTTCTGCCAAAGTTGGCCGCTCTTGCACCCAGGCATGGTGGTGCACCTCGCTGGGATCGAGTTCCCTATGATTACTCCCAAAGGGTGTGTGAGCGATGCAAGGAACCCCAGCAATGTTGCATCGGATCGGATCGTCATCCAGCTCCTCACCAGCAGAGTCGTTATCCTCGTGAGATCTCTGCTTCCGCTTCTTGCAATGATCCTCGATCTTCTTGCGAAACTCATCTCTGTCCATCTGCTTGCCCCCGCCCTTTGGGTATGCCAGGCACTGATTTCCATGCACTGCGCACAAAGACGTATTGTTTGCCTTGAACAAGATCTTGCGGTTCTGCTCGATAAACGTCTTCACGTCGGAGAGCTTTTTTGCTTTGTCTTCGTCAGTGTCCGTCTGTTCGAAAGTTGACCCCTCTTCCGCAACTTCTCTAGCCCGCGATGGCATGCGATCCAAAATATTTGTAAAGTGACAAGAGTTTCCGCCCTCACGACGAGCGGCCGTTACCAACACCTCACTTTGCAAGCTTCCCCAATCGCAAGATCTTGCCCATTCGACTTTGGGATAGAACTCACCGTTCGGGCTGTTGCTTTGCATCTTTTGCTGCATGGCGGCAATCATTTGGGTCAGTGCCTCACGGGGTGCATCTACCCCTGAGTAGTCAGTAGCGAAAGACAAGCCGCAACCAGTTATGTTCCAATACAGGCGAGCCAACATATCGTCGTCAAGAGCCGGGAGAATGTGGAGCGGCCAATTGAGCGCATCAGCTGGCCCTGCCACTTCCCCCGCAGGGGGCTGCGCCATTGACTGTAGTCCCAGGTGTTACAACAGCACAATGTTCGTTCACGCGACTTCGCCCATAGGTGGCATCTTGGGCACAAGCTGCATGGTGACACAACCACTGGCACTCATGATGGCCCCAAGACAGCCTATGATGGCCCCAAGAAAGCTTATGATGGCCCCAAGACAGCCTATGATGGCCCCAAGACAGCCTATGATGGCCCCGAGACAGCCTGTGATGGCCCCAAGACAGCCTATGATGGCCCCAAGACAGCCTAGGGTGGCCCCAAAACAGCCTATGGTGGCCCCAAGACAGCCAGTGGTGGCCCCAAGACAACCTAAAGTGGCCCCAAGACAGCCTATGATGGCCCCCAAACAGCTTATAGTGGCCCCAAGACAGCCTATGGTGGCCCCAAGACAGCCTGTGGTGGCTCCAAGAAGCCTATAGTGGCCCCAAGACAGCCTATAGTGGCCCCAAGACAGCCTATGATGGCCCCAAGACAGCCTATGATGGCCCCAAGACAACCTAGGATGGCCCCAAGACAGCCTACGTTGGTCCCAAGACAGCCTAAGATGGCCCCGAGACAGCCTATGATGGCCCCAAGACAGCCTATGATGGCCCCAAGACGTCCTATGATGGCCTCAAGACAGCCTATAGTGGCCCCAAGACAACCTATGGTGGCCCCAAGACAGCCCATGATGGCCCCAAGACGGCATATGATGTCCCCAATGCAAAAAGGGCCCCCTGGAGCCAAACAGTGGCGCGTGGCGCGCGGCCGCGTTACATGCTCAATGACAGCGGGGCGCGTTACATGCTCAATGACAGTGGGGCGCGTTACGTGCTCAAAGACAGCGGGCGCGTTGCATGCTCAACGTGGCGCGGGGCGCGTTGCATGCTCAACGTCGGGCTTTGAGCTTCGGGCGTTAGCGTTGATTAGGGACGCGATGGATAAGGTGTTAGGGCTCGGGTGATATAGGGTGAGGGCGTTAGGGTTAGGGTTGGTGCGTTCGGGTTAAGGATAGGGTGATCGGGTGAAGGTGTTGCGGTTCTGGTGTTAAGGTTAGGGAGGCCAGGGTCAGGGTGCGACGGTTAAGGTTCGGGCGTAGGCTTCGGCGCTAGCCCTCGCCGTAGTTCCAGTCCTGTCATCAAGCCTTAGTCCTGGACGTCAGTCGCGATTCGCGCGCCATGGCCACAATGGCGTTAGCGCTTGCATTGGCCACCCTAGGCCTTCAAACTCAGCGCGCGCCCACGCTCGCACGCTGGCCCTCGGGCTGAGGCATGAGACCCCGAGCAACCCGCAGGCTTTGCATGAAACCTGACCTAGCACTTATCCGCCAGCGTTAAGCATGGGCTGCATGCCCCAGCCCTCGCCATCGCCATCGGCATCGAGCTGCAGCGTCGCCGCCCGAAGCCGCTACCACATGAGCACCTAATCCACTTGCTTGCTAGTGGCGCAACTTGCTAGATGGCAGGCCCGAGGCGACAAGCGCGCGCTAGCGAACGCTCGCGGGGCGCGAAGCCGCAGCCCGAGCCCTGCGGCTTGAGACCTGAAGACTCAGGTGCTCGGACGTCAGTCCCAACACCTGCCCTAGGGCTGTAGGCCCAAAGCCCCTGGCTCTGGACGGCCACTGGCAAGAGGCTATGGCCTTCAGCCTGAGCCCCCTGCCCAGCCGTAGGCCCTAGGCCCAACCGCTAGCCAATGGCCTGGGTAGGAATGGCCTGCGGCATCAGCCCTTGGTCCTATCTCTAGGACCTAGGACTCAGGATCTAACTAGGACCAATAGCTGGCAGGCGTTGGCCCCAGGGTCCAAGATGCAGGCTCCGAGCCCATCCTTCGCGCAAAGCCACAGTGGCCCCGCCCGCTGGGTCCGGCATACCCTACGCATGGGACGCACCCGCTGGACGCCCCATTGCAATGGACATTGGCCAATGGCCATGTAGGCGGGATGCCACCTAGCAGGAAGCCCATCAGGTTTCAGCTCCTTGGGCTTTGGCGCTCAGCAGAGCGGCGAGGTGGCTTCCGGGCGCCCGGAGGGCCCAAGTTTCGCAATAAGCGTTTTTTTTCGTGGAAATCTATCATTTTAAATACATTTTGTACGTTTTGTATTGAAAATGGATGAAAAGCATGTTTTCGATCATTTTTGCACAGAAAATGCTAAAAACACATTGAAAAGGCTGAACTATGCGTTTTTACATACTTTTTTGCAGCTATGATGCAACAGTGCACAGAATCTTTACAATTCCAAGATTTCCAGCCCCAACTGAGATTCCTTGAAAATCTGATTTCGGTGAATTTCTGTGAATTTCGGTGGGACCGTTTTTGCCGGCGAAGTAAACAACTTTTACACCAAAACTCTACTTCGGCGTTTAAAAACCATTGAAAACGACTTTAGAAATCTACAAAATCCAATGAAAATTCATGCTGTCGGCTAGGTTTTCGCTTTAAAAACCACATAATCGC